TGTATGTGGGTATTGCCTGCATGTAGGTAAGTGCATCTGTGTCGTGCAAGGCCTGCAGAGGACAGAAGAGGCTGTTGGATCCCCTGGAACTGGAGTTACAGACAGTTCTTAGCTGCCGTGTGGGTGCTGGGATTCGAACCTGGGTCTTCTGCAAGAACAGCCATTGTTCTTAACTGCTGAGCCATCTCTCCAGCCCCACCAATAATTATTTTTAAGATAAACATTAAGTCAGCTGAAAAAACAGGTGGGGCATGGGGTTAAGGACCGTCACAGCACTGTGGATGAGTTGGGCACAGCACCTGTGGATGAGTTGCTGGATGGCGATGAGAAGGAGTGAGTCTCCAGGAAGGCCTTGAAGCACCAGAGGCATTGCTGATCTACCAGCTCGAAGTCAGAGTCATTGCCATAACAGGGATCTTCAGTAATGAGTTGTTTCTGCGGATCATAGCTCCCAAGTAGCTCAAATTTAGCTCTGCAGTTTTTAACTTGATTACTTTTTCTGTTCAAATCTCTCAGATTGCTTTCATCCATACACAGTCTATAATCAAACAGAGCAAAGTCTTCTTTGGTAATCTGTCTTGCCTTATGGGCTGTGCTAATGCCATGATTTCTTAGGCAGCTGACAGCTCTTGGGTCTGGGGACCGCCCCACATTCCAGTCAGAAACAGCACTGCTGTCAATGGCCGAATTATCTGAAATGTTTCCATCAGTTACCGATTTTCTGAAAACCGCTTCAGCAATGGATGACTGGCAAATGTTACCCAGACACACGAACAGCACCGACTTGGACCCATGCTCAGCCATCTTCTAGTCTCATTATGCTCATGATTTTATCAGTTACTGAGGGCTTAAATTTTCTTTTATCCATTTATTATTTATTTTATATATGTTTTCTCTTACGCTCCCCACTTTCCTTTTACTTTATGCCTGCTCTGATTTTTTTGTGCTCAAGAGATGCCCTTAGGTTCTATGACAATCGCTTAGTTCATCCTTGTTTAAATTTGAAGGCACACAGAGAAGTCACCATCCTAACTAAATCTGCAGTGACTTCAAATTCCATGAACAGCAGAACTTTGAAGGTCAGACCATCCCCACATGAGGACAATTATCCATGATGGTGAGGCTATACTCTGGACTATGAGGAATGATCTTTGTATGTGTGTGTGTGTGTGTGTGTGTGTGTGTGTGTGTGTGTGTTTCTATATGAATGAGACGATCCTTTTATCTATTTCTATGAAAAATGACATTGGAATTTTGATAAGGATTACATTACAGTATGGGTACTTTAACAATGTTAATTCTTCTAATTCATGAATATAGGATATCTTTCCACCAATTTGTGTCTTCCTCTCTGTGGATACAGATATATATATATATAATATATATATTTAATTTCAGTTATGAATTTTGTAATACAAACACAAAATATACTACAATCATGCCTCCTCTATCCATCAGAGCCCTACCTACAATACATAGATTTTAAACAGTCATTTAGCTATGAAGTGTTCCATCTTGTGTTGTCAGAACTTAGAGAAGTCCACTAAGGAGGGCTGGAGAGATGACTCAGCGGTTAGGAGTGCATACTGCTCTTGGGCTGGAAAGATGGCTCAGCGGTTAAGAGCACTGACTGCTCTTGCAGAGGACCTGGGTTCGATTCCCAGCACCCACATGGTGGCTACAAACTGTCCTTAACTCCAGTTCTAGGGGAATCTGAAGCCCTCTTCTGACCTCTGCGGCATTGCATGACATGGGTGCACTCACATACATGCAGGCAATACACTCATACACATAAAATAAAAATAATAATAAAGAGTGCATACCACTCTTATGGAGGACCTAACTTTGATTCCCTGCACCCACACTGGGCAGCTCACAACTGCCTGTAACTCCAACTCCAAGGGATCCAACAGCTCTGAACTCCCAAGGGCACCTGAATTCACGTGAACACACCCCCACACATACACACACACACACACACACACACACCATGTAAAAAATAACAACTCTTAAAAAATAAAGCACCATTTGTGAGAGTTTGAATATAACTAAGGGTGTAAGGTTTGCTGTAGTCCTCTGCACCTTTTACTGACTCGTACCTCCTAACTGGGCTCTCTTGGTACTTCTATTTAGGTTTCATTTTCAAGGACCCTGTGGGACAACAATTCCTGAAGCCCTTGCTCCTCATGAAACTGAAACTATTTCTTAAGTGTCCTGTGGGAGGAAGAAATTACAGTTTATCACAGAACTAGGTCACAAACAAGAGCAGCAGTCTTGTGGATGGTGAGCTGAATTTTGGAAAATCTAAAAATACTCTCTGATTCCCTAGTAGAGATTCAATCTGTTAAATGATTGCACTTAGAAGTATCAATAGGAAATGGATTTTATCTGGAAGAGGCTGAGTTGTAGTTATTCCGCTTATTTGGTTTCAGCTGAAATGTGTTTTCTGATTGATGTGCTTGGTCAGTTACTGGGAAGGAAACATTTGTAATTAAATTATCTAAAATAAAGATTATTGGCCAGGCATGGTGGTACAGTCAGGAGGCAGAGGCAGGTGAATCTCTGTGATTCAAGGCCAGCCTGGTCTACATAGTGAGTTCCATGCCAGCTGGGGCTATGGGGGAGACATTGTCTCAAAAAGATTTAAAAAAAAAAAAAAAAGGTTATTATCTTGATTGTATTTTTGTTCTTTGGGCAAAGCCAGAAATAAAGTCCTGGTGTTTAAACACTGATATGTAATTTTTGTACATTTGTGTGTGTGTAAATCACTTTCTACAGCTGGTGATTTATTAAGAATAGTACTCCAAGAGATTTGTTTGTTGGGGGCTTTTTTTTCTTTTCAGGATTTACCTTGCTTGGCTGCCTTACCTTAAACAATAATTTTAAAGAACTTATGCAAAGAAAGAAAAGAAACAACCAAGCAGAAAAATCAGGATCAGGGGGAAAAAAAAAGTGAACATGTGGATCACCCAGAGAAACAGCTGCCTGGTCAGCCAAAGGGGCAAAGAAGCGGATGGCTGAGCCTCGCTCAGTATCGTAAATGAAATGCGTTGTCTCTGTGCTGCCTGCAGAGCTTTCCCAGACTGAATTCAGAAGGAATTCTTCCAGAGAACTGTAAAAAAATTACCTTAAACCATTTTACACATTGCAATACAGTAAGAATGCTGTTCTTCCTTTCTTTTAAAAAATTAATTTTTATTTTGTGTATGAGTGTATTACCTGCATGTATGTAAGTGCACCCATGTCCCGCAATGCCCACAGAGGTCAAAAGAAGGCATTGGATTCCCCTGGAACTGGAGTTACAGATGGTTGTTAGCTGTCATGTGGGTGCTGGGGATGGAATCTGGATCCTCTACAACTGCAGCCAGTGCTTATAACCCCTGAGCCATCTCTCTAGCCCCTGCTGGTCTTTCTTTAGGGTCCTGCTAATGCAGCATCTGGTATGCAGAATGGCAAGCATGAGAGTCAGGGAGGGTAACAGTGGTCACTGGTGAGGAGTATGAAGGTCAGTCTAAGAGGATGAAGGTCAATCTAACTCACCCTTGTATCTAGTCTGTTCCCTGGGCTCCCTCACCAGCTGCTTTAAGAATTAAATTTAACACCCTGGACTTCTGTCAAGAGGTCATCTGTACTGGTTACTTTTCTCATGGCTGTGACCCGATACCTGTCAAAATTTCAAAGAAGAAACGTGTATGTAGCTCACAGTTCAGAGGAACGCATCGTGGCAGGAAGGCATGGTAGCCAGAGTGGCCTGGGCTCTGGCTGCCCAGAAAACAGAGAAAGGACAATGCCTTTTTCCAGAGTTGAGGACCGAACCCAGGGCCTTGCGCTTGCTAGGCAAGCGCTCTACCACTGAGCTAAATCCTCAACCCCTATAATATTTTTAATGCAAATTTTGTATATAGAACACCATCATGCCCTTTTTATAGGTTTGTTCCTGGGTTTCAGTTTAACAGTGTACATTTTCCTAATGCTGATAATGACAAAGATCATCACACTGCCTCAAGAAGTCAGTATTTATTTATTTATTTATTTATTTATTTATTTATTCATTTATTTATGGATAGGGTCTCACTGTAGCTCTGACTGGCCTGGAATTTAGGATTCTCTTGCTTCATCCTCTTAAGTGCTTTGATTACAGGTGCGTGCTACCGTGCCTGACTCCAGGAATCATTTTCATTTGTAATTCCTATTAACCAAGGCCCCGTTTCAGAGCCCGCCCCCCCTCCCCATCTCTCTTCAGTTCTTGTGTTTTGTCCTTTTTCTTCATGCTTGGGTTTTGTTGCCGTCAAATTGGAAATTGCTTTTAAATACGAACAGATAAAATAAGATTTAGAAATACAAAGTATATATGAGAATTATACAACCACTTGTTGAAATTCTACAGTATGATAAACATTAGAAATCATTGATCTCAGAATGGTTGGTACAACTGCCAAGTAAAAGATGACACGGTGTGAAAGCTACAGGGACAAAAACTTGTGCAGGGTTCAGAGATTAGTGCAATTAGAGATGCATAGAGTCTGGGAGGTTTTAAAGTGTCTACTGCAGGCACCTTTAATCCCAGCATTCAGGGAGCTGATGTAGGCGAATCTCTGAAACTCCAGGCCAGCCTGGTCTACCAGAACTTCCAGGCTGCACAGTGAGACTGTCTCAGAAAACGAACATGGGGGAGGGGGAGCGCAATAACGGGAGGTGCAGGTGGGATCCAAATACCATCAGTTTATATTGTAAAAAAAAAAAATCACAAAAATTCAATTAAAAAAAAAAAAAGGTTAAAACAGTGTCAGAAAGAACAGCTCATCCAAACACATGGCAGGTGAGAGCAGCTTGATTTGTTAGGAGTGATGCATCATTTTGTAGTGTAGTATGGGTAAGAAGAGACAGATCACAAAGACCATGTAGGCCCAGAAAATACACTTGGGGCAAAAAAATACACACATACATAAACAAGCGGATGCATCCAACAAGCAGCGATGGTCATCCCGTACTTATTTAGCATTTGCGATGGGCCTGCTGCGGTTCCAAGCCATGTGGTGACACCAGGTGAGGGCCCTGAATTCCTGGAGCTCTTGCTGTAATGGGGAGCACCCGGAGCCGCCCAGAACGGCACCGCCTGACACTGAGGGTCTATTTAAGCTGGCGACGACAGGCCTGAAAGGCTTGAGTGTTCTACGGGGCTTTTACGCCCCCTCCCGGCCCCGGAACCCTACTTCTTGGAGAGAATGGAGTGAATGCACCCCACAAACGTCCAGGAACTGGATAATCAAAGGGAACCTGGATGACTGCAGCACGTGTCCCATCCAGCCGGGCTCTCCGGGCTCAAGGCCACACCCCCTCCACCTAGCGTACGCCCTCCCACCGCGCATGCGCCTCCGCCGGTTCTGCGGCCTCCTGGTCGGCAGGGGGAGCCGAGAGCCGACGCAGCGCGCAGCCCGAGGCCGCTTCCGGGTCAGAGGTCAGGCGGCGGCGCTCCGTGGGCCATGGTGCAGCTCCGGCCGCGTGCGTCCCGTGTCCCCGCGCAGGCGGCGGCGATGGTCGACGAGGACCAGCCGGCCTCGGAGGAGGAGGTAGACCACGGCCTGCTGCTCGGGCAGCCCAGCAGCGGCGCGGCCGCCGAGCCGCTGGAGGAGGACGACGGCGACGACGAGGCCCCGGAGGAGCTGACTTTCGCTAGCGCCCAGGCGGAAGCCCGGGAAGAGGAGCTGCGTGTGCGCGAGAGCGCTCGCAGGTGGGGTCTCCGCGGGATCCCGGTGCCTCTGCGATCCCCGGGCCCGGCCCGCGCTTACCTATCCCCTTTCTCCCAGGGATAAGACGCTGCAGAAGGAGAAGAGGAAGCGGCGGGAGGAGCTGTTCATCGAACAGAAGGTTGGGGATCGGGACGTCTCTAGCTCGGGCCGGTGCTGAAGGTTCTTTAGGGTGCGGGAAAGGCCACTGTTTCTTCGGTGTCTGAACTGTGCTGTGCACCAGCTGAAAATGGGAGTGGCAGCGCTGACACCCTAAGCTAGCCTTGACACCCCGTTCGTTTTGGCTTCAGGAGATAGTGTTCTCTGTTGACGATTTAATCTACAACCAGGCCTCTGGGAGAATTTAAGTGATTTGCAGAGATTGTACATAGGGATGAGTACACAGCCAAGATCTGACTCCAGGTGGCCGTGCCTGACGCTTTCCAGTTCAGAACAGGGACTTGAAGGTTGGAAACTGGGGGGACACTTGACAGCGCATGTGTTCTGAACTCTGTAAGGCCAAGTCTAGCCGGTCGAGGTAGTGGGGGCAGTGTGAAGTCTATTGCCTGAATGCAAGACTCTCCTTAAAATCCGTAACTTTTAAAGGGTAACTCCAGACTTGCCTGTGCACATCACTTAATAACTTTAAATGTCTTTATGCCAAAAGAAAAGAAAGCTGCTTCCAGATGCTGTTCTAGAGCAGTTAACTACAGCTCCGCTGGCTGAGTAAGTAATGTGTCTACTGCTGCTTGCTTATATAAAGCTATCTTTGAATTATAGGCTGATATTAAGGAAGCTACACCGTGCTGACTTCCTGATTCTCATCTGTTCATCTAGTAAACTTTGTTGAGCACCTGTACTCCCAGAAGTGTTGATGAATAAATGTCTTAATATGTATCATTTAGTGGAATAGCAAAGAAGCTCCTAGAATTAAGCTTTTCTTATACCTGGTTTAATTACATTTGTCATCTTCCTTTAGTCCATGAAGTCAGTCAAATCCTCCTGAATTTCTTCCCTCATCCCCCTTTCCTTAGTGCTTTCTAAACTCTGAAGCTTAGGCCTCTTTTTACACCTAGAGTCACAGTTTCAAATTACCAGTTAGTTTAACTTATTCAGATCTCGAATCCAGTAAGCATACAAGCAGATCTAATTGGTGGTGAAGTCCCTTTGGTCATGACCCCTTCACTCCCTCTTCAGTCTTTTCTCTGTGGTCTTCGGTACTATGTTTTCAAGGCTGCTTTATCAGCTGACAGCTGTCTCAAGGCTGACCTTTGTCTCCTGTGTCTAAACCGTTCATCTTGTGTGATTTCTCAAAAGTATAAAACAGACCTCCCCTTTACTTGATACTTTGAATATTAAGTTACACAACCAGTTCCTAAGCGTCACTTTTCCTTCTTGGAAGCTGCTCTCTGACACTATTAGTTCAATGATTGGATGGATGTTGGTGGCGATGTAGGGAGGAATGACTTTTCTTCCGAACTGATGATAGATACTGGGTAAACGCGAGGACCGTGGTATTCTTGTTTCTAAAGCCACATGAATTGTTATGTGTTTGAATTCTCTTTGCCGTCTGTCATTCTGATCTTTTTTTTTTTTCCTTTAGCTTAAAGAAATCACCAGAAAAGTTAAAAGAAGGTATGAACTCTTCTTGCTTGACTTAACTTTTCATGGAAGGGTGAGGTGTATTTGAAGCTTGCTTGGTTAAGTATTTGTAGCCCTTGCTTCTGCCTGGTTCCCCGTGTTTCTTACAAATAAAGTGATCTCCATTAAATGTTTCTGAGTTAATTTATATAAATGCTAACCACAAAATGGATCTTAATTTTTCAGTTAACTTGGAACAGAAAAATGAAGACCACAAAAAGGGAAGTAATGCTAGGAAAGTTAAAATACAAAAAGTGCAGTCTGTCAGGTAATGAGCTTTTGTTCTGTTTTCCATGTGGGATGCAAATTTGACTTTTTAAATTAAAGTTTTGGCTTATGTGGAAAATAGTAGTTAGCATGTCAGATTATCTGTAGAAAAAAAAGGTAAGTTTTGCTAATTACATTTATTTGCTGCCCTAAAATATTCTAATGTATTTCTTGTAAAATAGCCCATGATTTAGTCATATTCATTATCTGCACATAAACAGTATTATCATTTGGGGCTTAAAATTTTTATTATTTTATGTGTATGAGTTTACCTGCATAAATGTAAGTACACCCATATTCTGCAGTGCCCATGACGTCAGAAGAGGGCATTGAATCCCCCAGAACTGGAGTTAACGGATGGTTGTTAGCTACTGTGTGGGTGCTGGTAAATCAAACCTGGGTCCTCTGTAAAAGCAGCCATTGCTCTTAACTGCTGAGCCATCTCTCCAACCCCCATTTTGGGTTTTTAAAATGACAGTTTATGAAAAATGGCAAACTTTATTCAAATAAATAGCCACGTGGGGGTTGGTAGACCTTGCCTACCACATATGAGGCCCTGGGTTTGATCTCTAACATATCCCCCCTCAATTCCCTGGCTCCCACCAAAAAAGGGGAGGTGGATTAGGGATGTGGTTCAGTTGTACAGTGCTTAACTATGTGTGAGGCCCTGGGTTTGAGCCCCAGCACCACACACATTCACACACAAGTTGTACAGAAAAGTGAACATGTGCCCTCATAATTAATTTAACCCTTTGTATTGCTCACTAGTCGGAATAAAAGCTACTTGGCTGTAAGGCTAAAAGACCAAGATCTGAGAGATTCAAGGCAGGAGGCAGCCAAACGCTTCATCCATGATTGTTTATATGGTTCAGGAACCAAGAGAACTACTGGTAATTTTCTTGACTGTTTCTTTCTCTTTTTAAACTGCAAAGACAACAAAGAAATGATAAATAATTCTCCCTTTTAGTTAACAAGTTCCTGTCTCTGAACAACAAGAGGTTACCAGTGAAAAAGGCTGCAGCCCAATTTCTGAATAGCACTTGGGGTAAAATCTAGCTTTTTTCTCTTGGCTCTGGTTTTATAAGTTGTTTTTAAAATTTATTATTTAAAAATTTTTTATTTTATGCTTATGAGTGTTATGCCTGCATGTATATAAGTGCACCTGTGTTGTGTAGTGCCCACAGAGAACAGAGGGTATCAGATCCCCTGAAACTGGAGTTACGGACAGTTGTTAGCTACCATGTGGGTGCTGGGATTCAAACCTGGGTCTTCTGCAAGAGCAGCTAGTGCTCTTAAGCTCAGAGCATCTCTCCAGCCCATCCGTTTTTGTTTTTTTTTGTTTTTTTTTTTTTTGAAGGAAGGAGGCAGTTCATGGTTATAAATTAAAAGACCTCATATCTATTTATATAAACTAGAGAATCTTGAAAATACTTTGAATTTTATGTTTCTTGGGGGGTTTTTAACTAATATCTTCAATATTCTCACCACATAAAGCTTTCTATTCTAGGAACCCAGAAACAACAAAATGCCAAGAGGTTTAAACGACGGTGGATGGCCAGAAAGATGAAAAAGAAAACTTCTAAGTGAACTGAAGCTAAAGCTAATTGAAGAATCTGTACTTTGTAGTACAGAAGTTATTTAATGCAGAGAATTGTTTCTCAAAACATAGTCATTCATAAATCATAAAAACCATGAACTGGTTTGTCTGGCTACCTCTCTGGAATATAATTTGTGTCTTATGTTCTCTGAGGGTCCTGGAGGAAAAAAGCAGTTTAAGAGGAATTTTCATCCCCGTGTGGGCATGTACAGGAAGGGAGGGAGGAGGAGGAAAGGCCACCCAGGAAAGGTCTTTGCAGCACAGCTCTTCTGGTGCCCTGGATGAGACTCAGTTTTGCTCTGTAATGCTGGTGCCAAGTACAAAAAGTCATTGTCAAAGAGCACAAAAAGCCTAAGAGAGGCAAACATCTGTTAGGATTTGAGCCTCAACAAACACAGGACTCGATCAATCTGGAGCAGGTGTTTGTTTCTTAAAGAATGTATTGTGTCTAGGCGTGTGTGAACACTCATGCTCAGAGGACAAACGTGGGAATTTGGTTCTCTCCTTCCACCCTCCGGTTTCAGGAACAGAACTCAGGTCATCAGACTTGGGAGCAAGTGCCTTTACCCACTGAGCTATCTGACCAGCCCTGGATCAGCTTTTTAAATTTTACTTTTTTTTTTTTTGGTCTAAGACAGGGTCTCCCTGTAGCCCCAGGTGGCCTGGAACTCGCTATGTAGACCAGGCTGGCCTCAATCTCACGGAGATCCGCCTGCCTCTGCCTCTACCTCCCGAGTGCTAGGATAAAAGGCATGTGCTACCATGCCCAGCTCTTAAACTTTAGTTTGGAGCTTTGCTTAATACACCAAATTGTGACCCTCAAAGAAAAGAAGCTAATTTCTTATTTTTCTGTTTTAAACACCAATATAAGTTTTGACTAATCCAGAGAGGCTAATCAACCGAAGGCAGTCTAAGATGTAGAACTTAGACTGAGAGGCAGAAAGTATATCCATACTCAATTCATAAAGTCAATGGACACTAAGATCTGTAGAAGTAAATTTTTAATGGCTGGTTAATTATATCACTACATTTTTATTGCAATATAGTACTCATTTAAGCACTTAAAAATGGAAGGTGTACAAAGATTAAATTAAGACACGGTAAATTGACTAAATATTTGGTTTTTATATAAATAAAGGTCATAAGCACACTGTTGACATGTAATACTGTTATAATACAACAGTTAAACTTGTGAGTCTACAACAGAAGTCATCTGTAGTTAAACAGGAAACAAAGCTGAAAAAGACCATGTTAAAACAAAACCACTGGGACTAACAGGTCGGGATTGTAAGTAGCAACAAACATGTTCACTCAGCTCCTGAGTAGTTCAAGTTTTACAGTACACATTAAAAATGATTTCTTCCATCAACACTATTAAATTCAAACTGTCGGATGTTTATGCATTTTGCAAGTTACACTGATTGAATGCTTATACAGGAGCGGGGGTCGGAACATCTCCCAGTTTGTAGTTTACATCACCCACATGCTACACAAACACAACTTGTTCCATTTCCTTCCCCCTTCTCCCCCCAACAAAGAAGGCAGGATTTTTTTGGTTTCTTTTAGGTAATTATTTTAAAGGATTTCTGATGATCAATTTGAATGTCTGAAATTCAGTAATATTTAACTCTTAGATAACTAAGAGGTTAAAGATGGAAAATATTTTCTCCTAACACTAAGTTAGAAAATCATTTGCATCATGCTGTAAACTAGGAAGCAATGTAAAGCGACAAAAACCTGTCCCCAGTACATAATTAAAAAAATCTAAGTTTCCAATCAGCAGAGCTGGTCTACTTCCATGTTGCCTATTTGCCACAATGTAAGTGTGAGCTCCTGAAGTGCATAGCTAATGTAGGTAGTCTTCCACTGTGGCAAACGCACAGGATCCAATTCCCGATCGAGCCATCAGTCCTAGACATTGTGTGGCCTGTCCCATTGCTAGGGCAAGTGGAGGTTGCTTTGGCAGATTGTGGGTTTCTGAGGAAAAAGATTAGAAATTGGAAATATCAAGACATTTCTGAAAACATCTTTCAAGAAACTGAACATTGCTACATAATTTATCAGTGCCTGTGTGGATCTGAATCATCAGCAAAGGCAGGTTAATGCTTGTAAGAAATTACTCTTAGAACTAAATTTGTAAAGATGTGATATTCTCAACAGTCACAAGATGTTACCTAGCTGGCAGGAAAATCTCTCCTATACTGTGCCAGGGTCAGCTGACATTAACAAAAAAGGTACCATGTTTCCACTAAGCTTCCAGAGATCGATTCTCCCACCTGTGTGGACAGTCCAATGAAGGCTGCCTTGCTGACTAACGCACATTGGTGAATGTCACTCAGAAGCAAGTGATGGTCGTATCAGAGAAAACGGCAAAGCCACAACAGAACTGAAGTTAACTGTTCAGATATTTTAAAAACAGTGTTTCAGATATTTTAAAAAACATCACAACTTCATCAGACAATTTTAACAGGCATGCAGTAATTACCAAAATTTATTCCCTGCCAAAGAAGAAGTGAACTAATGGTAAAGGGACCTAATTTAGCTAATTTTTCTGTGTCTAAACTTTATGGCTCTCAGTGAAATCAATCAGTGGCTGGCAAGGCTCCACATGGCTAACTGCAGCCTCTGTTTAGTTTGTGACATGGGGCTGGAGAGATGGCTCAGTGCTTGTTAAGCACACATGCTGCTCTTCCAGAGGACTGAAGTTTGATTCCCAGCACCCACACCACTCATGGCAGCCTGTAACTCCAGCACTGCACTCGTGTGCACAAACTCACACAGACACACAGATACACATATAATTTAAAAATAATAAAAGTATGGCTTCCAATATGGTAGAAAAAGACTGAAAATATTCTGAGGTAATAAAGTGCGTGCATGCACACACAACCAGAGTGGCAAGCTGAGGACTTAAAGACACAAGAGAAAATAAACAGGAAACATAACTAAAAGTAGCTAAGGATATGTGGACTGGTGAAAAAATATGGCTGAATGAAAAAATTTAATGTTCCTTTAAGGTTCGCAGGAAATGCCCTTGCTCAAAGGTAAGACCTGTGGTTCACAATTGTACTCTTTGAGCAAAGGAGGCATCTGGTTTTAAGCACCTATAAATTTTTAGACATAAAACAATATATCTGCATTACATTTAAGTCAGCTCATTAATACAGCACTGCATCTGGTAAGATGTAGTCACCCAAAGCAGTTTTTAATCTTACTACTTTTAATGTAAGTGTAAGAGTGAATTATAGCTGAGCCCAGTTACTACAGCACTAAGAATACATAGATCTTGGATAATATTCAACAAATTGATTTGAAGAATTCTCTAAGAAAAACTGCCAGATGAAAACTGGCCACTTCAGAAAACCTTCCCACGTTGTCTAGCTAGCAATCATTTTCCCTACAAAGTCAGCATTGTTACTAGGTTCTTGTTTTACCAACAGAACGAAGTGGATTTTGTATAGCCACTGAAAATACAATACAGAAGCCAAAGGAAATTCACATTATTGTACACACAAATCCTAATTCAAGAAACTATAACATGGGGCTGGAGAGATGACTCAGTGGTTAAGGGCACCGGCTGCTCTTACACAGGACTTGGGTTCAGGTCCCAGGACCCATATGGTGGCTAACAACCATCTGTAATTCCAGTTCCAGGAGATCTGATGCCTTCTTCTGGCTTCTGGGGGCATTGCATGATACAGGTGCACTTATATACACACAAATATATAAAATGAAAATAAATGGGAAAAAGTTTTTTTGAAATAACACAAAGGACATTCTTTCTATATCCAAACGGCAGCTGGTCCTTACCAAGTGATGTAATGGACTCTCTTAAGGGAAAAAAAGCACATTAAGCTTAAACAGCAGCAACTGGCATAGTGCTTCCTTTACAATCTTACCCTGAGTCTCAGGCTCTTTATACTGCGACAGTGCTCTCACCTTCCCAAATAGTTTATAACCCGTGACTAAAAAGCTCTTCACCCTAAGCAGGCCAAATAACGTGGTACCAACTTCTAATCAGACTGAAAATCATGTAAAATTACCTTTTATCTAAATTACCTTTGAAGAAAATAGCTCAGAAATTATACATTTATGTACAGAATCAACACTAACATTTAAATAAGAGTGTGGTTTCAGAATCCACATAAAAAGCATTTGTCCAGTACATAAATACTATTAACCACACTGCCGTGAGTTACTGATAGGAACAGAAACCAATCAGGAGAATAACAAACTCGAGTTTCCCACTTCCTACGCACACTAACTAGACCTCACCTCTAAAATGCTTTTTTTCCCCCTCTACTTTAATTGAATAAGGACACGAAGTTAATTTGGTTAACTCAAATGCAAATATTTGGTTCCAAAGGTTGGTACTGACGGGTATTCCATGGGTACTATGATACTACATGGGGCGGGGGGGGGGTTACTCTTGGAAGTTTAAATACCTCAAGCCAAAAGATGGGCAGCAGAGCGATACTGGCCAGGAGTCCTGACTTCCTGCAGCACAGGTGAACTTGCCAATACTCAAGCTCTTTCTAAGCTTGCTTCATCAAAACCTCCATCCCTGATATGAATGATCTATTCCCATTTACCCCTTGCCCTTCTGGCCTCACTTTCCTATGGAGCAAGAATTAGAACTGTTTTCAATAACAAGCCCAAATTCCTACCATAGCTGCCAAACCAAAGCCGTGTTCTAATCAGTCCACTAACCAGAAGTACTGACCTATTGATGAAGGTTCAGTACCACAGAAAATTCATACTGTTTCTCAGCTGGGCTGTCAAGGCCATGTATAACTCTCATCCTTTGTTCAGAGATTTCAATCCTTTTACCTGTTTTAAACTAGCTTCTCAGCACTTCCTGCAGCTTTCACATTGAGTCCTGATGATGACTCACTTGGAGAAACAACAGGCATCTTCCCAACACAGCACACCATCTCCAGTGCTAGAGGAGGAGCTTAGGCCCAGCAAATGAGAGAACAGAACGCCAATGCCCCGCCTCAACACAAGGCTACACAGAGTACCTGTGGTGACCATCTTTAAAATTCAAACACAATGACCACCAAAATATCCGGTCTAAATGAGAACACACATTTATTGTCTATAAATGTGTACACAAAACCTAATTTCCAAGCACCCCAAGATGTTCTCTGATATCTACTATTTTATTCCATTAGAGTCCATGTAATCTATTTTTAGCATGAAGGAAGTTTTTATATCTTAAAAAATATGGAAAAAATGTACTTAACAATTTTACTAAAACAAACATTAGGATAGATACCCTATCAAATATCTAGAGAATCCAAGAGGCTTGGGTTTTGCTTTACTTACCTAATATTGCACTGTTAAGAGCTGAGCACACAGGTTCTCTTTGAATTGGGTCGAGTTGATTTCCAACTGGGCTGTTCCAAGGATCCGAATATGCTAGTAAACTGAAGGCATCCTATTGAAAACAATTTTTCAATTCAGAGAGTTCAACTGCTATGCTCACAGTGGTTCCAAATTGAAAGATAGGTATGTATTGAAAACAGATGACTGTAACCTTTAAACCCATGTACCTGTGTCTAGTAAGTTCTGTTCAAAACAACTAGGCTATGCAGCAAAGTCTAAGTGGTCTTCAGTTTTCTTGTGAACAGTCACTCTTACTCATTTCTGCCATCCCACCCATAATTGGAAAACACAAGCAAATTGGAAAAAGTAAAGCTAATTCCATGGTTAATACTGATGAAAGCAGAGGGGTAGGTAAAATATTCAAATGCTTCATCATGTGTTACCACTGATATAAATTTGACATTGAAGAATAAGGCCTGCCTGTGTTTTATTTTTAAGTGAACGTGGGGACTGGACATATATCTCATTGGATACCATCTTCTCAAACCTAACAGTGGAAAAAAACAAAGTGGCTCTCTAATACATTCAGGATACTTCCAACTACCCCAAAACAACTTTTCTTACGACCATCAAATAACTGGCACATAACTTTCTTTCAAACATCTCTTTCTGTCTCTCCATGAAAGGCACATGGTACCTTCAGACACTGGCTTCAAGTCAAAGCTGTACTACTTGCTAGCTTTGTGGCCTCTGGCAGGAAACGATCTCTTTAATCTTAAATGTCAGTTTCACCATTTGCTGTGATTTTAGGTGATTATAAAGAGGTCTTCTTGCAAAGTTGTGTGAGGACTAATGAAGTTCCAATGTCAGTTCATTCCAAGCTTTCAATAAAAGATGCCTTATTTGTATGTGAACTCAATACCCTAATCCAAGATAAAATTATACACACACAAAGGGATACATAAAATAATGAGACACAAGACCCCAATACAAATACAGGCATTGATAGAGTGCTACAGAGGCTGTAAACTTGTGAACTCGGAACCACAGCACTTTCAAAATGGCAAATGCTACAATTTCTGTAGAACAGGATCTAGATTCAGTTGCTCAGGCAATCAGATTCTACCCGTTATCCGACGTAATGGTACCACTGCTAAAGAAGAGATGGTGGCAGGAAGAGGAGCTTCCTGGTCAGCTGTACTCAGGTTCTCTCCTACAATCACCCATTAAACAGTCTGTGAAGTCAGTATAAAACTACAAAACAGAATACATACAACACTACACACATTCATGCACACCCCACTGTCTTCCATTATTCAATGCCTCACTGAACTTAGTCTTCTGTCCCAAGTATTATGAAAGTTCTACAAACAGAAATTTTGTACTGTACCATTCTGAATTCCCTGAAGTTACTCAGAGGTGTTGGGTACAGGAAAACCTTTATTGTACCTGCTTGATAAAACAGACCTGTTTATGGTAACTGAGTATATTTCATGTGTCCCACAGAGCTAGTGCTTCTATCTCCTCTCCCACACCCCAACTCAAGTTTACTGTGCAAAGAATGGTCTATATCCTGTAGAGCTAACTTTATAACTGATGGTGTTCTTTCTAAAGACTGTGCATCATCAATACTATCCTGCATCCGCAGCCATCTAAGGAGGCACCATCCCCACAGGACATGTCAATTTAAAAAGATATACCAAGAATACATCCAATGAGTGACTAGCACATAGAACCTTTAAGCATTAAAACCATCTTCATGGCTCTACACTGACACACTACCAAAAAGACTGAATTTGATGTTTCAACATCTCAACATCCTCTAGTTTTAGAACAAAACCAGGAACAACTGTAATACATTATCGTTGGCTAGTACTGTACAGACGGTATTACATACACTCAAGGGTCACTTCAATTGCTCTAACCTGAGGTTGGTAAGTCCATCTTCTTACAGATGCAAACTGAGGCAAAGACAGGTTAAGACTGCACAGCTATGATGCAGTTTTTCTATGTTAATTACCAGTCTACACATTAAGAAAAGTTAGAGTTTTGTTCTGTTTTTTTGTTGAGCACAGCTGATAGACTGGGCACAGGCAATGATGACCAGGACCTAATCGCTGCTTTCAGTACATTCCTAGTGGCCTAATGGAAACAGATTCAAAGAACATGCAGACTGAGGCTAAAGAAAGGAAGAAATGCATGGCCAGAACCATGCAAGAAACTAGACCCCAGAATACTCCCCAGACCGCACTAAAAACATAAGCATTTTTTTTTTCAAGAAGGCAATGAGGTTTTAAAAAAAGGAGACTCAGGCTGGAGAGATGGCTCAGCGGTTAAGAACACTGACTGTTCTTGCAGAAGATCCAGGTTCGAATCCTAGCACCTACATGGCAGCTAACAACTGCCCATAACTCCAGTCCCAGGGGATCCGACAGCCTCTTCTAACGTCCGTGGGCAGTGCACCACACAGGTGCACTTACGTACATGCAGGCAATACACGTGTACATATAAAATAAAAAAGATAAAATTTTTTTAAAATGTGAAAAAAAAAGACTGATAGGGATTAGACTTGACTAGAAGGACCACACAGCAATATCATGAACTATGGCTTAAAGTAGTATAAAGCTCCAAGCAAGAAAACTACTACAACCTTCACAAAGTGGCAACGGTTTGCTGTCAAACTTCCAAGAGTATATACCTAGAACTTTATCTTTCCTTACTAAAGAACAAAAATAAAATTAGCACGGCGGCACTAATGTCTTAAACTCCAATGCTTCACTGATGAAAACTGACAAAATGCAAAGAAGTAATTTTAAGACACTAACATGTTAACCCTAAAAATTAAGGTCACAGTGGCAATTAGAATGGTTCATTACCACTGCTGGTTGGTTGCTAGAAAGTTTCTGGAATGCAGCATAGCAATATACAGCATGAGCCACACTACATTCACAGCCTTCTGCTTCTAGGACTCTCTCTACCCCACAGCTTATCGTGTAGCTACTTCAAATGTAAATAAGGCATAGAAACTAGAACTAGTTTAAGGAAAAACAAAAACAAAAACAAAAAACAAAAACCAACAACAACAACACAAGCCAGGTGTGGTGGTGCACTCCTGTAATAACAGCACTTGGGAGGCTGAGTCAGGACTGAAAGTTAGAGACCCTGTTTCAAGAAGAAAAAAGAAGTTACTTCAGTTACTGATGAGGCAAAATACATGCATGTAGGAGTTAAGGCACAAAACTCCTATGAAATCCTGTGCCACTGTAGGTTATGTTTTACTCTAAAGAAAAAGACCTAACTTCAGTGGAAATACCTTCTGAGGTAAATATAGTATCACTGAGGTAGCGTTCTCAAATTACTCAAGCTTGACTTAAACCTGGAACCATTTCTAAATAGTGTGCGTCTGTCTGGTTCTTGTTCTTCTAGTCACTACACTAAAACCCCCTTTGGCTCACTCATCTGAGCACCTACAACAACCTCAATACGCTACTTGAGTTCATGAAGTAGTTGTCAAACAAACCAATCCAGGCAGCTCTCTTGGGAGGCACCAGAAAAAATAGGCTACAAGGAGCAAAAAGATGACAAGAAAAAAAGACAGAAAATGCTAGAAGGAAAAAGGTCAAGAGAAGAAACTGGGGCCACCAGTGTAGCAGTATTTGTCACACCACATCAACGCCACACAAACACGTACGCACTGTATGGTAAAGAAATTTAGCAAAACTTTAACTTCAATTCTCTTCGTGTCCAGTTGTGCTGCATAAAGACATCCAGGCCAATGCAGACTACACAGCCAACTGTCACTCCTTAAGATTATAATAAAGCTGGAAAACTCCTATTGCCTAGGGACACCACTGCTGCCACGTCTCAGCATTACTTGAGTACTTGTGGTGAGGAAGTATAAACAAACCTGCACTGCCAGCCATAAAAGAACTGCACAGAATTCTGCAAACACTCCACACTTGCAAACACTAATAAACAATGAAGCAATAAGATGGGCCATATACACATGTGTATCTCTATGGTGAATACATACACCATATAACCTAGGTGTAAAGTAGACTACCATCTAGGTTTCAAGTGTACGATGATGCTTACGCAAGAAATAATACATTCTTAACACATCCTCATCATTAAGTGATGCGTGATTACATATGTGACCCAGAAGTTTTATACCCAAACACTAAAGATCTTTTAAAAACCATAATCATATGTTACTTCAAGTGAAGAATAAACAGGAATAATTTCAAAAGCTCAACTACATCAAAAAATGTTTTCTGTTTCCTTCAAATCTTCCAGTCTTGGCTCTTTGGCGTCTTGTGAAGTAGGTCAGTTATTCATCTGTATCCGATCAAGGAAGGAGAGGGAAGCAGTTCAACATTAAGATAGTTTCTGAGAATAAGAAACTGCCAGCTTATCCCTGAATAGAACACCTATATCAAACTTCTGCTTTCTAAGCCTTCGGGATCACTGTGGAAGAGGGGGCAGAAAGATTGTAAGAGAGCCAGAGGTGGTGGGTGACTGATGACTGTAGGGAAAGTTTTCCAAACAGCTGGGTAGTTACTCATATGCACTCACAGCAAGGGAGACAGCACACACAAATCCCATGCAAGCTCAACCCAAACAAAATATCAGCATGGATGTGGAAAGGTGGGTAAGAAACCCCAGTCCTACCCGATGGCTGCTGGGAGGAGTCACTGTCACTTAAGGGTGAGACTCTTGGTAGGGTGACCAGGCTCCAGTGGCTAGTTCCACACCAAAACGTATTTGGGGACACAAGTTTGAATCTATGGGGAAGCGCGCGCGCGTGCGCGCATGTGTGTGTGTGTGTGTGTGTGTGTGTGTGTGTATGTGTGTATATCTCTCCCTAAATATATACATACATACATAATAAAGTACATGAACTGGTCAGGGGGGTGGGGGTACGGGGGGAGGAGATTTCAATACAATTAAAAATAATGTATAAAATATGCAAAAATTCAATTAAAAAAAGTAAAAAGGGGGCCAGAGATACAGCTCAGTGGTGGAGTGCTTACCTAGCATGTGCAAGGCTCTAGATTCAATCCTTGGATGCCCAGCCAATGAGATTCATTCACCTTTTACAAAACCTTGTCTCTTCTATATGACACGATTTACTCATGAAATAAAATGAGTGACCAGGAAAACAAGTTAAATAAAGTCTGGGGGTGAAGAGGTGGCTCAGAGGTTAAGAGCACTGGCTGTTCTTGTCGAAGACCCAGGTTCAAATCCCAACACCAACATGGTGGCTAACAACCATCTATACCTCTAGTTCCAGGTGATCCGATGCCCTCTTCTGACCTCCACGGGCATTGCACAACATGGATGCACTTAAATATATGCAGGCATAACACTCATACACATAAAATAAAAATAATTTAAAAAATTATAAATCAATAAATACATAAAGTCTGAAAGAGCCAGGTGTGGTGGCACATGTCTTTAATCCCAGCACTCAGGAATCAGGGGCAGGTGGACCTCTTTGAGATGGAGCTCTACATAGCACGTTCCAGGCCAGCTGGAGACCCTGTCCTTGGGGTGGGGGGAAAGTCTCTGAAAGATGCAGTTGTTTAGAAGTCAGAAGTGAAATATCAAAGCCACCCACTTTATTTAGATGAAGACAGTAAATTACATTTTCATGTAATTCAGTGTGATCAAGAAACATATTCAAGATGTAGCCATGTAATAACAATTTCTAATTTCATTCAAATTACAGCCAAAGGCGAAGTAGGATGACAAGAGTCTAGTCTCAGGTATCCAGAATCACACATCCTTCACCCAGTTCAATTAGCACAAAATTTTAACAAGAATACCAAGTCAGATGACTGAGTATAAAAAAGTCTGAGTTCTTACAAAAATCTCATATTCCAAAATATCACCAAAAGGAAGTTCTCAGAGTGCGGTCCAGGGACATACAGGGTCCACGCCCTTTCAGCCAGTCTCTGAAGTCAGAACTCTTCACAGTAGCACTAACCTTTCCCTCACCTTTTCACTTTGAGAGCTCATTTCCCTGATACCATAATATCCAATTTGACAATTTAACAGAATGAATACAGAGTTAGGCCTGGAAGTTTAGCTCATCTGCTAAACCAAATACTCGAGATCTGGGAAAAAATAAAATTATGCTATTTCTCATTTAAGTGGGGTAGTTAACTTTTTCATAAAATGGATTTTATGAAAATTTTTACAATGGATTTATTTTAAAATTAGTAATTTTGGGGCTGGAAAGATGGCTCAGCGGTTAAGAACACTGACTGTTCTTGCAGAAGACTCGGGTTCAAATCCCAGCACCCACATGGCAGCTAACAACTGTCCGTAACTCCAGTTCCAGGGGATCCGACAGTGTCTTCTGTCCTCCGCAGGCATTGCATAACATGGTGCACTTACCTACATGCAGGCAATACACATGTACACAGAAAATAATAAAATATTTAAAAAAATAAAATAATAAAATTAGTAATTTTAAGGGTAGGAGAAACAGCTCAATGGTTAAGACACTCACTACTCTTGCAGAAGACCTGGGTTTCTAGCACTCACATGGTGGCTTACAATTGCATAAAACTCCAGTTCCAGGGGATTCAATGCCCTCTCTTCTGGCCCATGGGCATTGCACGCACGTGGCGCACATACATACACACAGGCAAAACACTCATACACATAATAATAAATCTTTAAAAAGATGAATAATTTCAGTTTTGGAAATTCTAGTTTCTGATATGGTAGATAGCAACAGATGAAACCTATTAAACAAAAAAGCTTGGGAAATCTTTTTTGGAAGCTGGATATATCTCAGGGTCTCTTGCAGCACGGGTAAGCACTCTACCATTGCACTAAATTCCCAGCCTACTTCAGTGACTTTTAAAAGACTCAGACATTAAAAATATTAAGAACTACTGCCCTCAAACAGCCCTCAGTATCTAGAAAAAAGTTGCTATCATTTCCCAAATGGATAATTTTAGATACCTAAAATTTCAATAAAGAGCTGAAGTCTTAAGTCTCTTAACAGTCCATATACCAGAAAAGGCTCTAAGAAGTCACACTGTGATGCATGTTGGCTCTGTACATCAGAAGTGTACATATCAGAGAAATACTTAAAATGGAGGGATTAATAAAGACATAGTCTGGCCTTAAAAAAACCTTCTAAGGCAAAAGTAGAGAGCCATTTTCTTGATACGTGAATTTCTGATATGACTATTTAAATGAAAAATTTCTTCATATCCATTATGCAATTTGTCTCCCTGTCTTTTGGCACTGAAGGTCCCCATTAGAAACAATCACTATATTATGCAGCAGATACATGGTGACTACATTTCTCTTCCCACCTTAGCTACAGACATATACAAGGCTTAACATCGTTAACTGAATGAAGGTGGGATTTAGGTGGCTCCTTTACCACCTTAGATTACACAGACATGTCACATCTATACAGGTGTTATGCTGAGGCTATTGTACAAGTAAATGTTTACCTACGCTGAAGTTATGCCAAGGGTATTGTATCAGGTACTAGTAGATGTTGCTGATTGCCCTTATGTTCAATGCTTTGTCTCCAGCAGGTAGTGCTACCTCTGGAGGCCCTGGGAACATAGGAGAGGCCTAGCTAGAGTAAACAGGCCAATGGGGGTATGCCTTTGAAGGGGGTACATAGTCCTCAATCCTTGGTCCCTTTGATTCTTTGCTTCCTGTCTACCATAATATGAAAATTTCCCCCGCAAGCTCCTGCTTCCATAGTATTTTGCCTTATAAAGGGGCCAGAATCAAGAGAACCCAGGTTTACTGACTGAAATATTTCGAACTCTGAGCAAAATCAGTCTCTCCTCCCTCTAAGCTATGTCAAGTATTTAGTTCCAGCAGAGTAACACAGGTTTCTTCCAAACATTCAGAAGAAAATACAACAAACCAACTCTGAAAGACTCAAAAATTAATACAATTAACTGCCACCTGACTCAATTCCATCTTCAACTGATACACCATGGTCATATTCAGAAGACACCTTAAAATGTATTTTAACCATTCTGGACATGAAAGATGATGCAATTTTTCACCAATTTCCATAAAAATGAAAAACCATGTATTACACATTTAATTTGCTACAACCCTCAACAGTCTACTAAAAATTAAATATCTAGCCAGGCGTGGTGGTGCACGCCTTTAATCCCAGCACTTGGGAGGTGGAGGCAGGCGGATATCTGTGAGTTCAAGGCCAGCCTGGTCTACATAGTGAGTTCCAGGACAGCTGGGGCTACAGGGAGACCCTGTCTCAAAAAAAAGACAAAAAATAAATAAATAAATAATTCAGCAACATTAAAAAAAAAATTAAATATCTCATTTATAATTTTATCAGCATACTCACAACTGTACAGTAATTTTACAATTTTACAACTGAAAAAAACAAAAGGAAGAAGTGGCAAAGTCAAGTGTGGTGGTGCACACATTTAACTCCAGCACTTAGGAGGCAGAGGCAGGCAGCGCTCTCTGAGATGCAGACAGGCCAGCCGAGGCTACAGGCAGGCCCTCTCCAAAACAAACAAACAAACAAAAAACCAAAAAAAGCCAAACAAACCAAGAGTGGAAAAGGCCCTCAGCACTGCAGTGTAACTGGCAATGATCCTGACACTGAGACTGTGTGCACACATGTGTGAGAGAAGTCAAAAGTTCTTCTAGATCTGAGTTACCTAACATCATCCAAAGTGTTCGTTTGGGGCTAGAGAGGTGGCTCAGTGGGTTAAGAATGCAGACTACTCTTCAGAAAATCAGAGTTCTGTTCCCAGCACCCATGTTAAGCAGCTCACACCTACTTTTAACTCCAACTACAGAAGATCCCATGCATTTGGTCTCTCTGGGCATCTGTGCTCACATGCACATACCCACATATGTAATTTTAGAAAATAATAAAAGTAAATCTTAAAAAAAAGAAAAGAAAGTTCTCATTCACAGATGGCAACGTTCTGAGGAGGAATTCTGGTCCAAAGTCCCCCAAGAATTTGTAGCATACTGCTCAACGCTTAACAAAACTGGACCTTAGTGCCTTTGACACATTTACAAGTCTCAGTTTGGATCTGAAATATTCCCCCAAATATTCTGATGTTGAAGGTTTGCTTCCCAATGTAGAAGTGGAGTTGCTGGGGGTGACTGGACCGTGAGGACTCTAACCTCATCAATGGATTAATATGATGAATGCACAGCTTGATGGGCTACTGGAAAGTGCTGAAAACTGTGGCTACTTGGAAGAAGTCAGTCACCGGAGGTATGTTTGCAAAGGGTAGAGTTTGTCTCTAGTCCCTTCCTCTCCTTTCTACTAACTGGTCACAATGAGCTCAAAAGCTCTGCTCTCCTACATGTTCCCCGCTCTACCCCATGTTCCTGCTCTCCCACATGTTCTGCCTCACCAGATCCAGAAGCAGTCGAGCCAAGTGAGGATGGGCTGAAACCTTTAACACAGGGAGTCTGAATAAACTTTTCTCCTTTTATTTTGTCACAGAGATGGAAAGCAAACACACTCTCACCTTCAGCATCTTCTTATTTGCTGTGTTCTTGCCACATTCTCTCCTCAGCTGTTCACTCATTGCTTGCAGCTCTCGGCCAAAGTGAATCATTCTTTCTATGGCGGCCTGACTTCCCCCACACAACTGGCGTCTTAACTGACTCGAATCAACTTCTGAAAGAAAAATAAATATTTCACTACTTAGGGAATGGAGAACAACAAGGAACAAAAATGAGAACTTGAAATGTTTTGTATATTCAATAACTACTTCCTAGTAGTTCATCTACACACAGATATGCACATGTGTATTTCAGACAGAGTCTTGGCAGGCTGGCCTTGGCCTAAGTACCAAGATTATAGGCATATGTATCACCATGCCTGGCTGCTAAACACAGATTTAAAAACATTTAATCTGGAACCCTGTAGCTAACAACTATAAAGTCAAATGTCTGGGACCCAATGTTTAGTGCACAGCTGAAAGGTGACAGCTGTCAGTGCACTAGAGCAGGTCTAGTGTATATTAAAAACAAAACCACTATGAAGGGTAAGTGGAATTCCTTAAAACTATAATGGAACAAGAGTTTTATAAAAAAGGCAATAATTCCATCTCAGGCTGATATAAAACAGAAATGGAATAAAGTGTTCCTGGAAACCTAGGCCCACTAGAAACAGATACCTTACTAAAAAGGATAATTACACTATTAGAGAAATGTTACTTTTAGAAGTATTTTTGTGTTATATATCTTGATTAATAATTAGTAATCAGCAATACTGTAATCATAAAAACCACTATCAATAAGAGCATTCATAGGCTGATGAGGAAAATTACTAATATTTACAAAGTACTCAATACACTTAGCTGCTATTTCACAGATGAACTCATTTACTCTTCACAATGACACAGATTTATTATTTTACCCATTTTACAGATGAAGAAACTGAGGCACAGAGCAGCTAAGAATTTTGTCCAAGGTCAAACAGCTAGTAAGTGGCAGTCACAGATATCAAATCCAGGTAATCTGGCTCCAGAATCTCTGCTTTTAACCACTATGTCTAAATTTCTCTTCGGAGGCAGAGACGGCTTATATCCAGCAGAATAAAACTCTGCTGTCTTTAAACAACTTATTTCAGTCTTAAAAGTACTAAGAAAACTAATATTGCCAGGGAATTCTAACAATTATTATAAGCTTTAGCAATTTTCCTTCTCCATTTGATAAAGCTGTTTGCTAACTTTACATAAATTATCAATAAAATAAAATGATATATTCAAATATATCATGAAATCATTTTTTTTAAAGTGGGAGAGGTCGTACAGTGCTATGCATGCCACACATTTGCATTTAATAAATTTAAGAGATTCCGTTTAGTTGAAATTTACAACATAACTCCAGCCATTTGATTTTACTGGCTATACTGAAATGCATGTGAAAACATTTTCTATCTCCAACCTTCAATCCTAAGGGCCGAACTCCTAAGGCACTGAGGACCCACTGAAGCTGAAGTGAACTGGCACTTCCCTTCAGGAGCAACCCACTCTCCCAAGAGTGCTTAGGTGACACTTGGTTAATTTTTAAATTTGGTTTATTCTCATTAGCTGTGAATCAGTACAAGTAAAAATATAACCTTGTAGCCATCATTTTTTATTAAAGAATGTAAGAAATATCACTGCAGACCCATTTCGGTGTCACAGTCTTCCATTTCGTGGTCATGTTTAGAGCTACCATTCAGGAAACCATTGGATGACGTTTCTCCAACTCCATTGGAGTAGTGATCTGTCTCCATGTCTACATCATTACTGAAAATGAAAAACACAACCTGAAGTTTAGAAATAGATTTTTAGCTTACTTTAAAATAAATTACTACATAACTATGTAGCCTACTAGAAATGAATTTCATAAGGCAATAGCAATCTGGAAATGAGGTATTTAACTAACTAAATCTCAAATGTATCAAATCTAAACATAACTGAGCTTTAACAAATCTGCACTCCTGGAGATGAGGGAGGAAAAAGGTACATGTGCCAAAGTGTAGTGGTTTTTGTGACTTTACATCAATGGAGAAATCCCACTCTGCCATAATACTTTCAACTATTTTTCAAACACACACTTGCACTTCTTTCTTGTTCCAGAGTCTCCCCAGCAACCCTTTCCAGTGTTCCCAGGATTTATTTCCAGCATTTAATGGAAAACTTCACTTTCCAAACCCCCAATAGTAACCCTCACTCTAAGAACCCAGTGCACTGCTTTCCCACCCTCATTATCCAATCCATATCGAGAATTTTTACAAGTCTTAACATTCTGGTCTTATTCCTTACTATTTAAGAAAATGCTCTCTCAGTCCAGGCACGGTGGTGCACATATTTAATCCCAGCACTCGGGAGGCAGAGGCAGGCAGGTATCTGTAAGACTGAGGCCAGTCTGGTCTACATCTCGAGTCCCAGGCCAGCTGTAACTACAAGGAAACCTTTTCTCAAAAAAACCAAAGAATATGCTCTCTCAAAAGTAAACACTATTAAAAAAAAAAAAAAAGTCTCATCTGCTCCCACCTTTTCAGACCAACACTATTATTCTCTTACAGGTCGTCTTATGAGCCAATAGTTCTAGAGTACTATCCAATCTTCGTTTTTATTTTAATGAAATCTATGCTGACCAGGCAGGCCTTGAACTTGTAATGTGCCTGCCTGTGCACATTAAGTAGCTGGAATTACAGGTGTGTGCCATCATGCCCAGCTGAAACAAACCTTCATTTTTAAATAGGTGTCACAGATGGTTTCTGGACAGTTTCCATTGTCACTTATCCCACACTGTACTGACACCTCTGTGCAGGCTAACTACATTTGGACATAATGAAGGAGTCAACACATGCCCTTTCAGATCTATTCACAGTCTTACAACAGACAATTTTATCTCTGGCTTAAGATTTCTCCTAAGATGATTTAGACAATATTTATATAATCCAGAAATGGAACTGATAAAAATTAGGAAATGTGGAAAAAGAGACATTTCACACTATAAAAGTAAAATATACTTATCTGCAAGAGAAAAAAAAATCAATACAGATAAAACCACTAGTTAATAACCTGAGGTGAGGTATGTGGGTAGACAGGTGTGTGTGAGGCTCTTGCTCAGTAAGTCAATAAGGCAACAACAGATTCAGGGAGAAGGGGGCAAAGGATCTAGAAAACAAACTACAAAACAGACTTATTCAATAAGAAAAAGATGATTTATTATCTTATAAGTCTTTAAGAAATAAGAAAAAAAAATCCCAAACCTTAAACTTTAAAAGCAATGCTTAATGAAAATCCTGTATTTTTTTTTTTGCAATCAAATTTAATACTTGAGAGGCTTTCATTCACTCACTCATCCATTCATACACATTTAAGAGATATGAGTTATGAGCTCTGCTTGGACACTCAGGATATTACATCACCCTCCAGGAATAAATGGCCTGTACTCAGTAGTTCCTGTACTCCAGAGGGATCACCATTAGTGCTAGGAACAATGTTAATCATAAGGAGTACTATAACATGTGGTGTGGGGATATAAATCAAAGAAAATGAGGAGTCACTTAAGCAACTTGGATTGGATGCCATCTAGACTTGAGTCTTACAGCCTGAACAAGAAGAGAAGGGCAGAGCACTTCACAAGGTGCAAGGGAAGCACAAGTTCCTAAGTCAGAGGTCCTGGGACATCTTTTCAGCTTTGCTACTTACTACCTAATTAGTGACCTTTAAAAAAAATGCCATGTACTTTCTGATATTCAGCTATACATCTGTAAAATGGTTTAAACAGTTCATACCACCTTTACCTACTTCACAACATTGTTACAGAAAAACCATTACCCAAGTACAAAATAACTCTTACTATTTAAGAGTTTAAAAAAGTAGTTCCTTGACTGGATTTAGAATCACCCAGAAGACAGTTCTCTGGATGTGTTTGTGAGATGTTTCTAGAGAAGCATAAAGGAGGAAGGAAGAGAAGACACTCTGAACGTGGACAGCACCTTCCACAGGCCTCTGCCCATGGAAAAAGATAGAAAGGAAAAAGCAAGGCGAGCACCGGCTTTCATGGCTCTCTTGCTTCCTGACTGCGGACCCCTGTGACCAGCTGCCCCACACTTCTGCCACCGTGCCTTTCTTGCCATCTTATCCCTTTAAGCCACGAGCCAAAATAAATCCTTTCCTTAAAAAATAAAAAAGTAGTTCCTAAATTTGCTTGCTTTTCCTTCTCTATGGCACACAGAGGACGATGCTGTGTCATCAAGCCTACTATGAAGCCAAGCACAGGTAATAACAGGTCAACTGAGCAACTTCCTGTAGTGAGAACATTCATGAGAAAAACCCAAAGTCTGACAGCAGTTTTACCATCCGATAAGACAGAACCCTCGACACTAAAACGTCAGTTATAAAGTACTAATTAACATTTCCAATCAGAACTTGTTATTCGTTTGCCGTAGTATTTGCACTTTATGCACTCTAACAGGTCAGCTCTACTGTGAAAGACCTCCCCAATCTCTACCGCAAAGAGTTTTAATCCTCAAGTTCTCCCATCTTCAGGCCATGTCTGTGGCCTCCCTTTTATCTTCTATCTCAGACCACTGCTCTTAAAAGATTTGTCACGTGTAACAGGTAACCCAGAAATTTCTACTGCTCTCTAAATTTTCAAACACACAAACACACACACACACACACACACACACACACATTTTAAACACAGACTCCCATTGACTCAAATTTCCTTTAAAATTCCATGCCAAATGTTAGGCTCGTTCTTCTTGAATAAGACAATGTTTTTGTCTTGCTTTGTTGTTTCTTATTTTTTGAGACTGGGTGTCCCTGTAGCCACAGCTGGTCTTGATCTCACAAAGATCCAACTGTATGCCTCCCAAGTGCTTGGACTAAAGGCGTGTACCACCATGCCTGGCTTTAATAACACAGTGTTGCACTGATGAACATTCCCTGAAAACATAGCCGAACAGTGGTTCGAATACAGAACCACATCAGTACGGTCCAGCTCACTTCCCAGATCACTGGGCAGGCTGAATGCACAAATTTGCTCTTGTATCTTCTTGGATTTAAGTGATTAGACTTCCTGAACTTATTTAAGGATCCATGAATATTAAACATGAGTACACCAAGGCCTACAGTATGTTGATACAGTTATGTTTTCTTTCAAAGCTCTTAGAAATCAGACAACATAGCTAGCAGAAGGTTTGGTACCCAAAAGGTTCCTGATACTGTTGTCATGCTAACATGAAGATTCTGTATAAAGTTAGTTCTTTTGAACCCTGGAAATATTTTATACATTTACCTCCCCGCCCCCCACACCAACCATACACACAGAAAAAACTAGTTATATGTCTATCTTATGTTAGCATTCTAAGTTAAATATACTGGTATGTTTTTACTTGAAAACAGCAAATGGCATTTATATGACTGTCTGTATAGAGCTGCCATTGCAGAAAGACAATGTACAGAGCTCTTTGTTTTCATAACCTCACTAGAGGAAGTAGCAGGAAAAGAGAAAAATACTGAGGAAAGACCTCTGTGCACAATAGGCAGCAAAAAAGCTTTAGGAAACGGACCCCTACTCCTTTCACTTTAGGAAACGGACCCCCTACTCCTTTCACTTTAGGAAACGGACCCCTACTCCTTTCACTTTAGGAAACGGACCCCCTACTCCTTTCACTTTAGGAAACGGATCCCTCACTCCTTTCACTTTAGGAAACGGATCCCCCACTCCTTTCACTTTAGGAAACGGATCCCCCACTCCTTTCACTTTAGGAAACAGATCCCCCACTCCTTTCACTTTAGGAAACAGATCCCCTACTCCTTTCACTTTCTAGGGGCTGAGCCAGTCCGGGTCACAGCAGTTCTTTCAAAATGACCTCGACACCTTGGCTGCTTATATGAATGCAAAAGCTCGGAAAATCACTTTACCTGGTGAAGTTATTAACTTGCTGTGACCTTGACATATTGATACTGTTGAGTTCTGGTACATTCAAACTGGATGACTGGTGTTTACTATGGCAATATGACTGATGTGCTTTATTTGATATTACACCATTACTACAACTGTCAAAACCTGAGGGGAGAAAAAAGAAAGGAATAACACATGGAATGGAAAGAAACAATAATTTGCTGATTAGGTTGCAAATAATACTTTAGCACTCTGATTTTATTTTTAACACTTTTAACAGGAAAGTCAATGGGCTATTTAAATAAATAAAATTTTTTAAAAACCTTGAATTACTTCACTGTGAACTATAATTTTATTTTCTGTAACATTTAGCTTAATTATAAATCTCATTTAATTCTCGCAATCCCTGAGGGCACTGCAGTCATGCACTGCTTAACAACAAGAACACATTCTGAGGAATGTGCTAATGATTTCATTGTTGTGCTAACATCACAGAGTAATTCTTACACACACCTAGATAGTCCAGCCTACTTAAGTGTATGGGATAGCCTACTGCTGATAGGCTATAAACCTGGACAGTACATTATTATACTGAATGCTGTAAGAAATTATAATGTGGTATGTATGTGTATATTCAGACTTAGGAAAGATACAGCAAAAATATCATCTGATACATGTTTTTCCGCTTCATCATGATCACATGGAACACTATTATATAGTCTGCTGCTGACAAAAATGTCATTATGTGGCATGTTATCACCATATTTTACACATAAACACACTGAATCTCAGACTTTGTCTGAGCCTAAAGTGACTATATGATATTCTAAAGGGGTGGTGGCTGCAGATAGACATGCACATCTTGTCCTCATCACACAGGACGCAGACTGTCAAAAACCTGAAAGGGGGAGCAGGAGTAAGACAGACAGAGGAAAAACAAAGGTGTTACTTTATTGAGAATAAAATGGAAGCATTTTCAGATTTACTTTATTAGGTTAAATGTACAGAGCAAACATTACATGTTGGGAAACATGACATTAAAGAGATAAAGAGAGAATGAGAAGGATTAGAAAAAGACCATCAGAAGTGACGCCATGAAAGGCAACAGGGGACCTTTACCTAAGAGAACATAAAAGCCAGAGTGTGCCTGGTGAGCTGAAAAGCAAGGCTAGGAATGAATCAGACAGTAAGCCCGGCTGTGCTTGCTAATCAGTAGCACAGCCTCTGCAGATCACTTAAATTCATACTTTATTAAGCACACAAATACTTTTCCATTACTAAATGTCAATGACTTTAGTGACAATTCATTTGAACATTGACATTTACTTATGAAGATCTAATATTCTCAGAGAGAGCTGTTCTCAAAGTTACTTCTTGGTACTAGTAACAGGAGTTTTACATCCGAAACTTGAGATCATGTACACACAACTGAAAGACCACCATAAAACCTATCTAAAGAAGGGCATGAGTTTTTAAAAAAAGATTGAGTCTCACCAGAAAAATGTGTAGCGCTTCCTTTGCCCGATGCTAAGTTGTGGATATTCATCCCATGGCTGGGGCTCATACTTGGACTACTAAAAGGTCGAGGACTGACAGGATAACTGTCTTGAGATTTAGGGCTTCGGCCTCCTAAACACCGCACTTCGCTGTCTGTGCCATTCACCATTTCTATAAACTGACGCACTCTGAAAGAAACAAGAAAATCTACTTAGACATAATCATCAAATGGACTGCTTTTATTTTTTTATGAAGCAGCAACAGACTTCTGAAAATATTTTAAAAGTTTATCAACAGGTTTGGTCTTTCTGGAAAAATCAGAGCATAAAGGCAAAAGTCACAAAAACAGCATTACTTATGAGAATCTATACACACCTGTAATAACATTAAAACACACCTCATTTTAAAACTCTGAAAACTTTTTATACTTGGTAACATACCACGTTGGTATTTAAGAACATGATTTTAGGTGCACATGTCCTTTATGAATACACAGTACAGCCTTCTCCTCATCCGGCCTCACCCCACTGGCAATCCCAACCTCTTAGCTTTAAAATAGGCTTCAGTTCAACTTTTACTTTAAGGAAAAAAAACTGTCTTTGATTTCGCTTAAAAGGTTGAAATCATATGTTCAATAACATCTAACTTTTAAAAATAATACTTATAAAAACCAATTAAAAGTGACAAATTAGGATCATTATACTCTAAAAAGCAGAAAATAAGTACTGATGATGAGACAGAGAAATTGGAAACCTGCCTTGCAAGCGGGAAAATCAGATGATGCAACCACCGAGGAAAGCAGAAATGCAGCTCTTTGAAACGCTACATAGAATTGGTTAGGGTCCAGAAATTCCACTTTTAAGTAAAAATAACCTACACAACTGCAAGTCAGAACTCAAAGGGATACCTGAACACACGTTCACAGCCAATTAGTCACAACAACCAAGAGACAGAAGCAGCCCCTGTGCCCACCAACAGGTGTACAAACAGTATGCAGTGTACCCACACGACGGGATATTATCCAGTCTTTAAAGTAAAGGAAGGAGAATTTGGGCACATGCTCCAATATAGATGAAACTTACGGATTTTATGCTAAGTGACTAAGCCAGTCATAAAACAACCAATATTGCATGCGGGGCCTAGGAGACAGGGAAGAATGGAGAAGCTACTGTTTAATGGGCACCAAGTCTCAGTTCGGAAAGATGTAAAAGCTCTAGAGATGTACAGGGCTGATGACTGCACAAAAATGTAAAAGTATTTCAATATAAAGAATATACTTAGGAATGGGTGAAACAGAAAATTTTATGTATACTTTACCCTAATTTTTCAATATACCCAGAGAGTTACTAAAAGATACTTTTCTTCCTTCCTTCCTTCTTTCTTTCTTTCTTTCTCTCTCTCTCTCTTTTTTTTTTCTTTTTTTTTGAGACAGGGTCTCCCTGTAGCCCCAGCTGTCCTGGAACTATGTAGACCAGGCTGGCCTTGAACTCACAGAGATCCACCTGCCTCTGCTGAGTGCTGGGATTAAAGGCGTGCGCCACCACACCTGGCTAAAACATACTTTTCAGGATGAGAATAAGATTACTGTCTTCCAAGTAAGATAGTCACACTTTAAAACTGAGAATGACAGAAAAGATATCATGCGCTTAGAGTCCTCAAAATAAAAGTACTTCCTATTTTTGTTGTTTTTAGTGCCTGAGATTAAATTCAGATCTTCATGTGTTACATCTGCTTATCACTGGGCTATATACCCTCAGCCTCAGGTAAATTTAAATGCTATTTAAATGTGTTATATTGTACAATTATATGTAGCTATCTTAGACAAGGCAAAATTAACATTAAAACTACAAATAAAGATAATTTAACATGTATAATACACAAAATAACATTATACTAAAACTCACTTTAATGTGAAAAGGAGATTAGGATTTCTTTCAAGTAAACTTGGATATAACTGCTGTGTTGTTTCAATAGCTTCTCCCATTCTTCCTGCTAACACCAACTTCTGAATTCCTATTCAGAAAAAAGAAAGAAAAATATTAACTTCTACAAAAGCATAAACAACTCTAATAGCTTCCCAGAAAAAAAGGTAATTACTGAGAACCTTTAAAATATTATTGTTAGATTCTATTTCTTTTTCTTAAAAAAAAAAAATTTATTTTATTTATTTATTTTTTTTTGGTGATTTTGAGACAAGGTCTCCCTGCAGCCACAGCTAGCCTGGAACTCACTCTGTAGACCAGGCTAGCCTCCATCTCAGAGAGATGCGCCTGCCTCTGTCTCCTAAGCGCTGGGAGTAAAGGTGTATACCACCATGCCTGATATCTTTTTCTAAAATTTTAAGTTTGTATAGAGAATCCAAGAATTTCAGACATATTAAAAACTAGAGAAACAATTATCTTCACAGATTTTTAAAAAATATTATGAAAAAAACCCTTTTTTTTCTAATCAAATGTTTATTATTTCTTAAAGCTTAAGAAAGCTTTCCCTGGCCCCCTCCCAAGGTGCTGGGGACCAACCCAAGCACTGTGCCAATGACTTATATCCCCAAATCCCAAGAAGTATTTTTAATGAAAAGAGAAGGCCATTTCTTTTAAAATTTCTATAAAACTCTCTCTGAATTTACAACCATATATGAACCTTTAAACCCAATCTTCAAAAATGTACATGAATGTGGTGTGATGGCACAGGCCTATAATTCTAGCACTCTGGGATACGGAGACAGGAGGATCAGGAATTCAAAGTCATTCTCAGCTATACACCAAGCTCAAGGCTAGCATGGGCTACATAAGACCATGTCTCAAAACAAACAAAAAAACTGAAACAACAACAAACAAAAAACCACTACTACCACCAAAAAACCCCAAACCAAACAATCGACGCAACAGAAAACCCTGAAAGAATGAAAATAAATTCAGAGGCATCCATTTTCAAACAACATACTGTTTTAAACAAAAAAGATTAACTTCCTAAAAGTTAAAACCAACGTTATAATTTGAAAACAAGTATTAACCATGCACCAGTTTCCTTACTTTGTCTATTCTTAATGGAAGCTAATTCTTCTAGAACAGTCTGGTCTGTAGATCTGGCAAAGGCCTCTGCTGTGGCACAGTACCCATGGTGGACTAAGTAAGATGAAACCATTCTTAAAGAGAAGAAACACATCTTTCGGTCAGAAGAATACACGCCTCTGTCAACAAGGTCTAATCTGGTATTACAAAATGAATCTCCTTGAAATAAGCTTTAAGAACTCCAACTTTAAATTGAAAATAACATTTTTTTTCTAGTCATGGATATTCCAAAAAGATAATTTAAAACAGTTCATTTAGACTATTCTAAAGTAAATATTACTGAAGGAGCAAAGACATTAAATGATCTTTATTTTCTTAATTCTTGGCTCCCTATTACCCTTAGGTTCATGGTCACTTTCTTCTTATTCAATCCTATTAGCCATAATTTCTATTTCTTTTTCATTATATGATGTCCCAGTAATATGCTGCCATTTACTAAAATACCCAATTTTAAGATGATAAATTCTTGGTGCTCCGGAGTACAACTACTTTCTGCACCCACCAGTGCAATGAGATGAGATCACAGGATATTGAACAGAGAAATACTAACATGAGCCCAGGAGAAAACTCCCTAGAATAAAATCTATGAGGGAGTGACTATTCAGTGAGGAAACAGTCTTATCAATTTGATGATTTTACACAGCAAATTAACTATACAAGATTTATAGAAAGTAACATACTTCTGAGAGAGCAAAGTTCTGTTTAAAAAGCCATTAAGAGGCTGGGAGTGGTTGCGGATGCCTTTAATCCTAGCACTAAGGTAGATCTCTGTGAGATCAAGGCCAGCCTGGTCTACATAGTGAGCTCCAGGCCAGCTGGAACTGTCTCAAAATAAACAAACAAACAAAGCCATTACATAATTAAAACATAGTCTTGCATCTATATTTACAAAAGTTACAAAAAGTAGTAATACAACAATATTAATCCAAAACCTGCTGCCCCCAAATATTCAACTGCTCAACCTGCCTCTGTCTGATACTAAAAGCCAGTTCGAAAGTGGTGGGAGGTAACGATTCACTAGGTATCAGGGAGAAGGTGGTAAGGGCACAGATCTCTGAGAAACACTTTCATCTTATTTTGTCTAATTATTCAAATTAGTTTAAGAGGGAACTTTTCAGAATGGATTTCCCCTTGTTCATATTAATTTTGTGAAGCAGGGCCTGGCTATAGGATCACACCACAATATTTCCTCTACTGCCACCTGCCCTGATGCTCAGTGACTCCGTTTTCATGGCTGGAGGCCATAGGGGTCATGGCATTCAGAGTTAGGGTTGTTTGTTCTTTCACTGCACTGAACAAAGATCCCAGTTGGTGTCCAGGGTCTGTCATAGAGATGGGAGCAGCAGCCTGCTTTCAGAGTCAGTCGCATGTCTCCCAACCACCATCTCCTCTAAACAATATCCAAAAAGACTTTATTAGAATTTTGAATTGAAGAAGCTTCAGGGTGATTATAAAGCCTTTCAAGACAGTGCCACATGAATGGTGTCTGAAGGTCTTGGCTATTTTATTGGCCTAGATTATATAATCAAAATGACTTTTTATTTTCATATGAATGAGTGTTTTACCTACACACATGTAAGTGCACCCATGCATGCAATGCCTGAGGAGGCCAGAAGAGGGCATCAGATCCCTTAAACCTGGAGATGCTGACAGTTGTTAGCCACCATGAGGGTCCTGAGACATCAAACCCAGGTCCCCTGCAAGAGGAGCCTGAGCTCTTAAGTGCCGAGCCATCTCTCAAACCCCACAGGATGATTTTTTAAACTTAATGGTATTTATTTAATTTTTGTATCTATACTATTTCAAGTTTTATGAACTACTGATCAAAGTCTCAACTTTTGGCAAAGTCTTAAAAGAGAGGAATTATATTTTCCTGCTGGCTTCCATGGTAAAATTATACAAAACAAAACAAAACCACTAAAAACTTTCCCTTATAAAACAGGTTTTTAAAAAATATGTGGTCAAGGTGGGTATGGTGGCACACGCCTTTAATCCCAGCACTCAGGAAGCAGAGGCAGGCAGAGCTCTGTGAGTTTGAGGCAAGCCTGGTCTACACATAGGGAGTTCCAGGTCATCTGGGGCTACAAGACAGACCAGGTCTCAAAAAGACAAAAAAAAAAAAAAAAAAAAAAAAAAAAAAAAAAAAAAGTGTGGCCAAGTAAGAACTGATATAATTTCATATTTTAGTATGACTGATACTTTTTGCTCTGTTGCTGGCCATTCTCCAAAATTATTAATTAATTAAAAGTTTTTATACTGCACTTAGGAATCTTAACTTTACTCACTGCTCCTTGGTCTTCATTCCCTTTTTTCTTATTCTAAATGTCTAATAACAGCTTATATAAGAAATAGCATTAAAAATTGTTACTACAGCTTTTTTTAATTTTTAAGAGAGAGAGAGAGAGAGAGAGAGAGAGACAGAGAGAGAGACAGAGACAGAGACAGAGAGACAGAGACATGCCATGGTACACATGTGAAGGTCAGAAGACAACTTGTAGGAGCCAGTTCTCTCCTTCCATCATATGAGATCTGGGGCTAGAATTCAAGTCTAAAGTCTTGGGTGACCCATCTGCTGGCCTAAGGCTTTTTTAAAAAGTCTTTTAAGCTAGAGGCCTTTGGTTAGATCCTTGAATATGGTCCATTATAATCTCCTTGAACTTAAATACTAAATGATAAAAAATACGCAACAAAAAAGAAGACTCTAATAACCAGAAACTACCCAATATTCTTACAGAGCAATCCACATTAACCTAATCCTGAAACATGGTTATGTACACATCTGTCTATGATCCAATACATTTTGATGGTGAGAGTAAGCAAACAATTCATTTTCTCCATACATATGTGAACTATTTCAGAAGACAGTCAAGTTCATGTCTCAAAATCAGATTCCAAAATACACGATCTAGGTTATCCCTCTGAACTTATCCTTGTATCAACATTATTTGAAGTTCAATTGTGTAACCTAAGAATTCGCTAAATCCTATTCCTATGGGTAACAGATGAATTGAGCTACCTTCTATAACCTAGCATTACTTTATTTCCCCCATCCAGTTAAGTCAGACTGAGATTTAATTCTGTATATGTAGTTAAATCAACACTGTTTTATTTCAATTGCTGAATTACTTTTTGAGAGACTAAAATATAATCAATAGTACATAAGAATAATTAGGATTTAAACTTGACTTCTGGATACAGATCTTTGAATACAAAAAGAATAAATGTTTTAAGTACTCAGTGTTTGAACTGTGTCCATTCAAAATTCTTTGCTCTTACTTTTGAATCATGGTCTGCCATTCTCCTTCTCGATCCCCAATGGGAAACCGGTCTATCTGGGCTTGTATTTTGGTTCTCCATTCTCGCATGTAGTCTTCTATATCAAACACAAAAGGATGCTGCCCAAAATTGGCATCAACCACTTCTCCTGGTGTCTGAAGCCCCACAGTAGGATACAAGTTTGGCTGCAAGATAACACACTTCTTTATAGATACCAAAGACTTGATTAACTTTTTAATGTTAGCTTTCAAAAAAATAGAACCACAAATGAATATTTTTAAATTATCAATCAAAATATTAGAGGAAACTAAAACAAATGATATAAAATACTTTATGTGTTAGATAAAAAATGACACTTTCTTCAAACTAATCATTTTCTTGTTTCTTAGCAAAACAACTAAGATACCAATTTTAATTATTTAAAAACCATGTTATATAATTCACGTGGCATTATATTTCTTTTATTAAAAATATTTTATTATTTTTATTTTATGTGTATGAGTGTATTGCCTGCATGTAGGTAAGTGCACCCTTGTCATGCAATCCCTGCAGAGGACAGAAGAGACTGTCGGATCCCCTGGAACTGGAGCTATGGACAGTTGTTAGCTGCCATGTAGGTGCTGGGACTCCAACTCGGGTCTTCTGCAAGAACAGTCAGTGTTCTTATCCACTGAGCCATCTCTCTAGGCCCCTACATTTCTAATATATGAAGATTTAGCTCATGCTCTTCAGAACAGTCATATAGTAGTATAAAGATGTGAGGAGAAACACACAACTCAGGGCTATCTCACCTTTTATATAACTTACATTTCTGCACACTGCACATTAGAGCGAGCTCACATAAAAGCACCAACCCTAGCTAGGTATGCACCACTTTAAATCTATTATTTTCATTTACCTGCACACTTGGAAGGCCTGCCTTTACAAAGAAAAGTGTTAAGAACTGAATTATAAGCAAGACATTGAGGCACGGTGGGGATTCTTTATGTAAAAATAAAAGCTCCAATGTGTCGATTTCAAAGGGAAAAAAAAGAGAAAAATTTGAATACTCAAACTCAAATGCATTCAAATATACCCCAAGATTTCAAAGTATAAAAAAAGTCAATGTAAAAGGAAGTAACTTCAGCCTGGCGGGGTGGCGTGTGCCTTTAGTCCCAGTACTTGAGAGGAAGAGGCAGGGGGATCTCTGAGTTCAAGGCCAGCCCTGTCTACATAGTGAGTTCAAGGCCAGGGAAACCCTATCTAAAAAGACTAAAAAAAAAAAAAAAAAAAAAAAAAAAAAAAAAAAAAAGGGGAAGTAGCTTCAAATATACAGAAGAAAAAAACCCCCAAATACCAGATTCCTTGTTTTGGCTCCTATCACTAATCAGCTGTTCATCTAAAAGGAGGGCAGAAGACGGAGTAGTCACAGAGTGCCAAGGTCTAATTATTACAATTATCTTGAAAGGTGGTTATTATTATCACAAAGATACAGAAATTGGGAGTAAGTTAGATAACTTGCTCTGGGTCACCCTACTAATAATAATTGGCAAAACCACAACGGTTTTATTAACAGATGCAAGCTCAATTTTTATTCCCATGACTCCAAATCTCAACACATGTTCACTCTTTAGATTTATGCCTTGTCTCATTGCCTTTATTACAAGTATTTTCACTAAAAAACATGGTAAATATTAAAAAGAGATAATTAGTATATGTATGAATTTTAAATAGATTTCATAGCAGAAGGGAATGTATTTAAAAACAATGGGTCAGTCAAGCAACACAAATCAGAAAAATAGTATGTAAAAAAAAGTACTATGTTAACTATGAAAATAAATGATAAAGCGAAATAAGTACTGATTCTTTTTGGTGGGGGGGATTACAGTTGTATGATTTGCTTTACTGCGACTGTCTCACTAGGTAGCCTAAGGTGGACTTCAACTCATGGTGATCCTCCTACCTCAGCCTCCCAAGTATAGAGATTATAGGTCTGAGTCACCATGCCCAACTTCAACTTATACTAATAACAGAACTAACAAATTAAAAAAATTTAAACCCAAAGCAGGTAAGAAACTTATTACAGGGTTCTCATTTCACCAGTGAGGAAACTCAAGGCCCAAAGAGTTCAAAGGCATAATCCAGAAACACACAGCTTATTAACGTTTAACACAAAAAGAAAAATTCAGATCTCTTCACTTCTAGTCCAGCATTTAAACCCATTACAGAATTATTACTTTTTTCTTTTTTAAAAAAATTATTTTTATTTTATGTGTATGAAAGTTTTGTCTGCATGTATGTAAATGCACCACATCTATGCAATGTCCAAGGAAGCCAGAAGAGAGCACTGGATCACTTGGAACTAGAGTCGCTTGAAACTAGAGTTACAGTCATCAGCCAACATGTGGGTACTGGGAACTGAATCTGGCTCCTCTGCAAGAGCCGTCAGTGCTTTTAACTACTGAGCCATCTCTCCAGATCCTAGAATTATTAGCTACTTTTTTCCCCCCTTAGGCCAAAGACAACAAAGACATTAATAAAAAGAAGATAATTCTATGATTTCAGGAGAAAAATTACTAGTTTAAGGAGGCTGTGGTTTACTTATGTGGCATCAGGTATTCAGATTAAAAATGTATATGAAATTTCTTTTTCAAAAATTAATCATTCTTGCCTATCAAACACAGTAATTTTAAGTCTTTTTAGAATAGAAAAACATCTTACTTCACCAGGTTCAGGTCTAAGCACCCACAGGGCAGCTCACAACCATTTGTAACTCAGGTTCTAGAGGATCCAATGCCCTCTTCTGGCTTCCTCAAGCACTGCACACATGTGGTACACCTGCATACATGCAGGCAAAACACTCATACACATAAAATAAAAATTAAATCTTAAATGCAAACAGCCATGGCAAAGGAATATATGTACCTGGTTCCAAACTGACTTAAGTTTACAGTTAAAGGAATTTCTCAAATAGATGTGAATTGGGGAAGAAAAACTATTTTCAAAAAAATAGTGTGATGGCTATGTGTGATGGCTCCTGCCTGTAATCCCAGCACTGAGGCTGAGGAAGGAGGAACACCATGGGTTCCAGGTAGTATACGCTACAGAGATATAGTCTCAACAAACAAACAAACAACAAAAAGTTGTAAGGTTGTTAGAGTTGTGTGACATACTATGACCAATGAACTGTGTGATACAGCTGAAGAAAATATGAGGTACTGCAAATATACTTCCAGGATTCAATCCTACACCTAGTTCAAAAGAAATCATAAATACAGAACACACAAATACATTCTAAGTGACTCCTTTAAGGGAAAGATGAGTTTTTTCTTTTCCTTACAATAGAAAAGTGAGGTATAGTACATCAATTCCAGAAGATTTTATAGTTACAAAAATGAAAAGGCCCCTAAACACCATCAAAGGAAACTTGTAAGAGTCACCACCACAACCATTTGCTCAGTAATAGCAAATTTGTATATGGCTTCACTTAGATAAGGGGAGAAACAACTCCAAAACGGGGCCAAAAATAATTAGAAGCCAGCAAAATTAGGCATGCCTGAAACCTAGCTACACCTTTCTAAAAGATCATTATTCCACTTGCCAATAAGGGCAACAGAAAACAACAGCAGTTCTCAGGGTGTGGTGGTGCACACCTTTAGTCCCAGCACTAGGGAGACAAAGCCAGGGTGCATCTCTGTGAGATCAAGGCCAACCTGGTCTACATACTGAGTGCGAGACCAGCTGGGGCTACAGAAACACTCTGTCTCAAAATGACCTCCCCTAATCCTGAAAAAGAAAACAGCAGCAGCACGTTCAGACAGGTGGTTTTTATGTGCTTAGAACCACAAAAAGCAAAATGCCTAGCAACAAAGCTGTACAATCCAGTGAACCTTAGAATCCTTTTACTGAAGGCTCTATGATATAGTTAAGAAAGCCATCATTTCATCTAATAGAATTTATACCTGCAAGGGCATGGTGGGAAGAATGCTTGCTGTAAAAGCAAGAGGAAGTAAGTTAAAAATCCCCAGCACCCATGCAAAAGCTCGGCATGGTCCCCCGTGCCTGTAATGCCAGCATTGGGGGTGGAGACAGGTGTATTCCAGGAGCTTGCTGCTGGGAAACAGCGAGCTTCAGGCTCAGTGAGAGACCTTGTCTCAAAACAGAAGGTGGACATCAATAGAGGAAGACCCCTGATGTTCCCCTCCTTCAGATGTGGTATTTGCACGCACCCCTCCCCACCACACAGGCAAGGATTTACACTTGCACCTCCCCATGTACCACCACAAATGTCCTATTCAAAAGCTAACCTCTACTTACACACTTGCTTACTTAATATGATCATTGTAGTATTTTTCTATTCTATACAATATTTTTTTTTGGTTTCCCAGTGAATTAATTACAGAAAACAGTATCTTGCTAAATCTAACCTAAATTCTTTGCTTTCACTCACCCTCTTCCATCACCAGCTACTGCCCCATGTCTTCATTTCCATTGTAACTAAGGCTCTCCAAAGCTGTCAACAGTCTCTAACTCTTCCTGGTCTCTCTTCAATCCATTTCAGTCAGATTTCTCCACTCTGCTGAAAGTTCCTTGCCACCATTGCCAGCGGCCTCCACTCTACTAACTGCAATAGTCAGCTCGTGGTCCTGACATGACATGATTCACCACAGCACTGATGCTGATGCTGACTGCTTCTCATCCAATGGACATCTTTACCCGGCTTTCAGATTAATTCCTAGTCTTCCATACCTCCCTGACTGCCTATCAACTTCTTTTGCTAGTTCCTCCTTTTCTCCCAAACCCAGCATGCCCTAGAACACAGTCCACTTCCCTTCTATGCCTACATACACTTCCATGCTGTTTGCGAGCAGTTTTATGAGTTTAAGTAACACCTAAATGTCAATGACTCCTAAATTTTCATTATAGGCCGATAATTTCTCTGTCTCTCGGTCTCTGTCTCTGTCTCTCTCTCTCTCTCGTCTTTTTGAGACAGGGTCTCCTTGTAGCCTTAGCTGGCCTGGATTTGCTATGGAGACCAGGCTGGCCTTGAACTCCAACAGATCCACCTGCCTCTGCCTCCTGAGTGCTTGGGATTAAAGGCGTGTACCACCATGCCTGACATAATTCTCTTTTTAAAAATATTATTTTTATTTTATGTGTATGAGTGTACCACCTGCATATGTATAAGTGCACCCATGTCATGTAATGCCCACAGAGGTCAGAAGAGGGCATCAGGTCCCCTTGCAACTGGAGTTACAAACTGTTCTTAGCTGCTATGTGGGTGCTGGGAACCAAACAGGTCCTCTGCAAGAGCAGCTGGTGCTCTTCACCAGTGAATCATCTCTCTAGAAAGAGATAATTCTCTTTTAATTTCAATCTTGCAAAACAACTGCATAATTGACTCTTAACTTACTCCAAACTAAATTACTCATCATCCCCATCAAAAGCTGTTCTATCTAAGCCAAGTGCGATGTCTACTAGAGAAGTTAGGGCAGGAGAATTACTTGAACCCAGAAGTTTGGGGGACAGACTGAGCAACAGGGGGGAGACTGCCTCCTAAAAAACAAAACTAAGAACTGAGAGTGTAGCTCAGTGCTAAAGCATTTAACTAGCATGTACAAGAATCTTGAGTTTGATCCCCTCACACAAAACAAAACAAAAAACAAAGCAACTATGTTCCACCTACATAGTGCCTTCTTGTCATCAGGTGACCCCATCTCCATCTTTCAGCTCCTCAGGCACACCAAATTAAAGTCAAATCGTCTTTTTAAAAAACTGTATTTTAATTTAAATTTTATCTGTAGGAGTGTTGCATGTAAGTGCACCTGCGTCATGCAATGCCCACATAAGTCAGAAGAGGGCGTCAGATCCCCTGGAACTAGAGTTACAGTTTTATTAGCCTCCATGTGGGTGCTGGGAATCAAACCTGGGTCCTCTACAAGAGCAGCTAGTGCTCTTAACTGCTAAACCATCTCTCAAGCCTCTTTTTCTTTTTATTTTATTACTTATCTGAGTTTGAGTATGTATGTGTATACACGCAGTTGAGTACAATGGAGGCCAGAAGAGAGCATCAGATCCCTTGGAGCTGGAGTTATAGGTGGTTATGAGCTATACAACATAGGTGCTGGGAACCAAATTCTAGTACTCTGAAAGCAGTATGTGCTCTGAAACAGTAAGTCATCTATCCTGCCCCCAAATCCTTCATATATATATATATATGTATATATAGATAGATAGATAGATAGATAGATAGATAGATAGATAGATAGATAGATATATTTAAATGTGTATGAGTGTATTGCCTGCATGTGTGTGAGTGCACCCATGTCGTGCAATCAATGCTGCAGAGGTCAGAAGAGGGCTTCGGATTCCCCTGGAACTAGAGTTAAGGACAGTTCGTAGCCACCATGTGGGTGCTGGGAATCAAACCTGGATCCTCTACAGGAGCAGTCAGTGCTCTTAACTGCTGAGCCATTTCTCCAGCCCCCAAATCCTATTTCTTATCCTCTGGTTAATCACTTTTCTTCCTTCTGTTTGGAACACTCTTATCCTAAAAATCCACTAACTCCCTTATTTTGCCAAAAGTCCCACTTTGAGCAAAAGTGAGCAGCCAGTACAATTCTGTCCCATCTTTAACACTGCTTATTTCTTTCAATTTTTTTTTCTGGTACTATTCACTTTCTAGTTTCCCTAGCTTAGAACTATAATCTCAAAAAAACAAAAAAACCCAGAAAGCTTTACTACCGGTTTGCCAACTAATGTATCAAAGCAGAGCACCTGCCACACAGGAGGCTTCTAATACACCCTAGATAAAGAAATGATAACACTCTGCTGAAAAGTTCAAAAATACCCACGAAACACATTTTGAATGAATGCACAGTGACAAGAAAAAGAGTTCTAGGGTGAGGTGACTGCTCAACGACGGCAGAGTGCTTACTACACAGGAGGCCTCAGGTCCACTCTGCAAACAAAGAAAAAAGGGTAATCTTATTTTTGCTAGTGCAACAAGATCCAGTGCAAGTTGGAACTTAATTTCTGAAGATCCAGAATATTCTATGCATGACATATAAGCATGTGTGAGCGAGACTTTAACACATGTCTAGCTCTAGTTCTTTCCACTTTTAATTAGGAATGCAGAACATCTTTTTAAAAAAGTGTCTTACCGGCAAGTCGGTGAAAGCAATACCTACAAAGAAAAAAGAGAGGCGTTAGCAACGTTTTCAAAAGTGCAAAGCTAAACAGCCAACTAAAGCAAAGTGAGAGGACAGCAAAGGGAGGAAAGAGCAGCGTCTACTCTTTCTCAGGAATGCTAATCTATACCTGGGTGAATGCTGTGCTATTGAAAACATCAGCCCTGATGATCACACACGAATTTTATTTCTAGTTAACTGGCATTGACTCGGGATTTTTAAAATGGTCATAAACCTTCAGAGTTAAATGAGGAATCACAGAAGAAAACTGGTGGCAAAAATGTCAGACTTGATTGTTTTACTCTCAAGTTGCTATCTAATTCGCATTACTTAATGCTCATCTAGATTTAGCTTTAAAAAAAAAAAAAACTTTAGTTTGGGGCTGAGCATCATGGTGCATGCCTGTAGTCCCAGGACTCCAGAGTTAGAGGCAAGAGCAGAATTCGAGGTCATCCCTAGCCACATAGCAAATTTGAACTGAACTTGTGAGACCCTGTCTCCAAAAACAAAAAAATAAAACCACTTTGGGTAGAAGGAAAAGATGTTTTCCATTTAAAGAAAAAGATATAGTACTTCTTTTTTAAAAAAGGTTTCTTGACAGGGTGTGGTAGTAATGCATGCCTATTGTCCTAGCACCCAGGAAGAAGAGGCATGCGGACCTCAAATCTGAGGCCAGCCTGGGCTATAAGGTGAGAATCATCTCAAAAAGAGATACAAAAGAAAACATAAAAGCACATTCTTAAATAACTTGTGACTACTCTGAGGAGGGATAAATCAATTCCTCCTTGAAGGGCTCCTGAATGCCTGACAGGAGTTCCAACACAGCCCTGTGCCAAATACAGCTGGGACAAGAGCTATGGTGCTGGAGTAAGTCTGTTGCATGCCAAAAAGAATAACCTTTCAACTGTTTACATCTGAATTGAAAATAATGTAATAAATGAACCTGGTATTTCTGTAGTATCTCACTGACCAGTTTTAAAAGATTAGGTCTAGAATAAAAGCAAAGTTGTATTACTTTGCTTTAGTTGTATTAGTTAATCTCAGTTTTCACATACCTTAAAAACAAAAACAATAACAAAAAAACCCCACCCCACCACCAGCACCTCTCCTGTTTTGACAAATATTCGAAACCTAAGAGCATTTCTGTTCAGTATTTCTTAGGTCTCTTCCCACTTGAGGTTCTATTATTATGCTGTACCAACGGAAAACCAAGCTGACCCAAGCTATCTGACTCTGCTGCAGGCTGAACATCCCTGATCTGAAAATATAATCTCTAAAACTAATGATGCTGCAAGTATAAAACTCCACTTGAACTACTCAAGTGATAGGCCATATTCAAAATGCAAGCATACTAAAAATATGGTATAATATTACTTTTAGGTTGTGTTTATAAAATAAATATAAAACATGAATGGATCTCTTGTTAACACTGGGTCTATCCCCAGGTTATCTCATCAAGTACACATAAATATTCTAAAATTCAAAATCTAAAATGTTTCTGGTTCTAAGCATTTTAAATAAAGGATACTCAACTTGTGATAGAATTTTTTAAATATGTAAAATAATGCTTTGCAGTTGGTAAAACTATCCCTATTTTTATGAATTTTGCAAATTAGTAAATATGTTCATCTGTCAAAAGGAAAGCAAAGCTGGAGGGGTTTTGTTTTTATTATTCCATATAAAACATTCTGATTATATTTTAGTTTCATTTAAAGTGATTAGGAGCCACATGTAAAAATTTATTCCAAAATCTTCAGAAAATTAATATAGAAAATAAGAGTTATGATAAATAGGCATTTTAACAGAACATGACTATACTTTTTTTTGGGGGGGGGGTCTTTCTGAGACAGGGTCTCCCTGTAGTCCCAGCTTGCCTGGAACTCAGAATGTAGACCAGGCTAGGCTGGCCCTGAACTTACAGAGTACTCCCGAGTACTGGGACTAAAGGTGTGCGCCACCATGTCCAGCAACATGCCTATACATTTTTAATATTTTTTGTAATGCAGCCCAATTATTTTTCTCAACGATAAGTATTTATAACAGGACTATCTAAATTTATATCGTTTTAGCAAAAATTATTTGTCACTAATTACTAAAATTGTCACTTTTTACCAAGCAATCTAATTTAATATTCAAATTATTTCTAGAGAACAACATTTTGGGGGCATTTGCCATCATAAGCTATGTGGTTCTGGCCACAAAAAGTTGCCGTATTAGCAAGTGGTGTAACTATTTGAATTTTACATAGAAACACATTTTCAATATTTCCTAATTTGTCAAGGTTTCTGAAACGTGATTTTGAACTAATGATATTCAATAAAAGTACAGTAATTTTTTTTCAAATTAAGTTAACCTCTCTGCTTGTCTCTCTTATTTTTTCCAAATAAAAATGTCTGCATCTCTCTATATAGCAAGCACTTGTTTAATTATGAAAACCCTGAATGAAACAGAAAGAAAAACGTTCCAGCTTTCAAGTAGAAATTATCCCCTCCACACTCCCTTGGGAAGCACAGGAAACAGAAATTGAGTAGCATTTCATCTTCTAGAAGCCAGACCAATAGCATGCATACCTTTCCTGTCAGGATCAAATACTCAGTATTTTCTGCTTTTCAGGTCATAGTCTGTGTCACAGCTGTCCAACTCTACCATTGTACCAGGAAAGCAGCCATAGAAGGCAGACACATAAATGAATGGGTAGCTGTGTCAAGTGAATCTTGATTTTAAAAATAGGCAGGCGGCAGCTCTGGCTGTGGCTTCTAACCTTCGTTCCCAGAACTGATTTCTGCATACCAGTCATCACTCCATCACTGTCACCTAGCCCAGAGCCTAGCAGAGGCTTTGAAAATACCACTATATATTTACTATGTGCCAGGCAATAATCTAAACATTTTTCATGCATCATTTTAGTTTGTTAATGTGGTAGGTATTATACTCTGAAAGAACCCTGCTTTCGTAAACTTAGAAATGGCTAAGTAACTTGCCTAAGGTCACATGCCATGGGAACCTAGTCAAGTCTGACTGGGGAACTCTCACTGACAACTATTAATATCTATGTACTCAATATTTATTAAATTTATGAATACCATCAAACATTTCAAATTTACTGAAAATTAGAATGTAATTTCATTAGGTACCCTTTTCTTAAGCATCTTACCTTTTAAACTGGCTTTCTTATTCAATGAAAAGATTTGATTTAAATGTTTGTGAAAATCTAATAGGAAAAAATATCACATCACCTGTGATCTTCCCATCTCCCAAAATAAAATTTCTTCTCTGAAAAGTTTAAAAAATTAGTGTTAAAAAGGCTAATTGTGGTTTTCTAAAAATGTCTCTTTGCATTTTTGAGCTGTCAAACCTCAAAGTAGGCTTCTCTTAAGTTTACGGTCTCCAACATTTTAAGCAGCCAATACATTCAAGACCAGATATATGACATATATGTTGTATGATGTATGTTATATGACATATTATATATGACATATAATGTGCATGGAATCATTAACATGCTACATTGAGAACATAAGGGTTTCTGTGGACATGTGATAACCTTTAAATCAGATAAAAGAGGAGTGCTTCAGAATTAAAAACACCTAAGTAAAAATACTAAGCTGAACATAAATATAAAAAAGACTACATAAGGATCGTGCTGAGATACCACAGAAACCTGCTGCAATGCAGACAGAAATCTAGAATTTTCTAAATTCTAAATGAAATGACAGAAACAGCATTTGTGTTACATTAAAGAACATCTATTATATGAATAAGCAGTCTAACTTTCAAATACTATGCAGAAGCGGAACAGAGCTTCTGCCTCTAAGGTTATTTCATTTTTGTTCTTACTCACTTCAGCACATTAGAAATAATCTGCTCTAAGTCTATGATTTTCCCAACAGTAAAAGCATCTTTTTATATTTTCTGTAATTTAAAAAGAAAGGGAAGGCTGGATAGATGGCTCGGCAGCTAAGAGCACTTCCTGATATTCCAGAGGACCTGAGCTTAGCTCTCAGCACCCTATCAGGTGGCTCACAACCACCATTTACTTCAGCTCCAGGGGAGCCAATGTTCTCTTCTGGTCTCTGCTGGTACACACACACACACACACACACACACACGGCATACATTCACGTAAATGCATGCATGCACATAAATGAAATAAAAATCTTTTAAAAATAGGGGAAAGACTTTTAAGAAAATATAACAATTATATACAATTTTAAATTTGAAGCAGTAATGAGCACATGCACATTCAGTTAAAACCTTTAATTTCCTATTACTCTTGCAATGCATGGTTTCTTCAAGTTTCATTAACATATTTATTTGCTCATTTGTCTTTTATGCTTAGTTGTTATCTACTTAATTCTGCTCCATGCTACAAATGGTCTTACAGACACCATCCTTTAACCATCGTTGTGAGCAGTTCTAATTTTAATATATCCACACTGTTCACTTACTAGAGGCACTGGCCTGTCTATTCCTTTTTAACTGTGCCCCACACTATCCTAAGACAGTCTTTTTTATTGCAGCTGTTAGAGAACTAGGCCATAATGAAAGATTTTCTTCAAGCAAAACTTGATGTTTCTATCACCAGAACAGCTCAGAAATGAGTATTGTTACTCCTATATACATGATACAGGGTGACCTTCACAGAATACAAATTTTCACCATTTCCTTGACATCCAGATGGCAGAATAAAAAGCTATTTCCAGAGGTATCTATCCATAAAACACAACCACATAATAAACCTAACTGCCATGCATGAAGTTCAATAATCACAATATTTGGGTATTTTGCATGCAATACAGTATCTCAGTACCTAAACTATGTCCATTCTTGGTATAAAAGCAGGTATTGTTGATGAGATTGACACAACAGCCAATGACATCACCAGTTGTAAACGTTGGTCCATAAGGTTGTCCAGTTCCAGAAGAACAAAACGAATGTCCATCATCCCCATGGTAACCATATGAATGTTTATCCCAACCTGAAGAAAAATGTTCAGTATATTTACAATGAAAAGCAAGGCTCCTCAGCAGTACATATTCACTAACATTGTTAAGATAAGCCAGAGTAGTAAAACAGATAACATAAAACTGCCAGATGTACATTTAAAGTCTCAACTATTACACTATGTAGTTAGTGTTGTTTACAACATCTGAAAAAATAAATACACCACCTGGAACACTGAAAGAAATACTGAAGAGAAAGGCTTCCTACCAGAAAACATAAATACAAATACAACATCCACAGCAGGACAGGACTTTCCATGCATTGCTTCTTTAGCTAATTTATCAAATGAATTTCACTTTCATTTTAATAACAAGTTATAATTGTTCAGTCACCACAATTTCTCAAGGCTGTGATCCAAATGTAAAAGTCACCTAACTGGTAGTCTTTCTACAACAGCAAACATTCCTATTTCTAAGGGGACCATTTTAAATCATTAAAATCTCATTTAAAATCTCTTAACTTTTAGCAAAAAAGGCACAATCAAGTCACAAGGTTACAATCGAATGACAAGGTATTGGTTTGATGTGTTCCTGTCTCAATGATCTTCACACAGTTCTGTATAGGTCATCTTACATCAAGAAATTTCCCCCAACATTAATTTTTAACATCAGCAAACAGAAGTTATGATCCCAGAATCAATTTCTTCTGCTAAATGGTTATCAAGAATCAATTCAATTATTTCAGGCCATATATTCCTGAGTCAGTTTTGCTATTCACCTGTACTCCTACAACACTAAACAATTAAAGACAGGTTAAAGGTCAGGAATATGACCTTTAAATGGAAGATAAATAGAAAGATAGAAACAGTCATATTAAAATATTTCAAGCCAGGCATGGTGGTGCATGCCTTGTTCTAACACTAGTTCTAGTTCTAGCAGAGGCAGGCAGATCTCTGTGAGATAGAGGTCAATGTGGTCTACATAGTGAGTACCAGGCCAGCTGGGACTACAGGGAAGCCCTATCTCAAAAAGGACACCCCCTCTCCCCGCAAAAAGTGGCTGATATATGTATGCACTTGAAATTAAAAGTACCAAGACATAAAAAAGGAAAACCAGAGGTATACATGCTACGTAAGTTTTATGAAATTTAAGTACATTAAATTTCACTTAGAATTCATAATATAGATCAAAAATACAAAAAAATCAGTATCTTTTACCTATTTCAATTTCCTGACATTTTTAACCAAAAAGAGTCAGTCATAAAAGTATAATACTGTAATTCAAGTATAAATATACCTGGTAGTCTATTCATGTTCACACCTTGAGCAGAAAGACCAATTCCCATGTAACTGTTGGAGCAGAACAAAAGGAAGGAAATACAGGTTATTAAAATCACAGATGTACAACTTGTTAAACACTCTCAAAGACGATGAGAACCAAGCCCAAACTGAAGCTCCTAAGTAGCTACAAAAATGTTATTACCATTTATTACACAGCAACAAAAAACATTATTAAGTAGCAATAAAACCCAGATCCCCAGTAAACTACTACTATTTGTAATCACTTACAAATACATTAAAAAATATTAGTAGGAACCAGGAATCAGTGGGTAAAGGCACTCGTGCCTAACCTGATGACCTGAGTTCAATCTCTGGGATCAACGTGGTAGAGAGAATCAACTCCTGCAAGTTGTCCTATGACCTCATCCACACACTTGCAATGGCATGCATGAGCCTATATACATACTCTAAGTGTGAACATTAAGAAATCTGGGGTTGGGTGTGATGGCACACACTTTTAATCCCACCACTTTGAGAGGCAGAGCCAGGCAAATCTCTTTAAGTCTGAAGCCAGCCTGAACTATACAGGGAGTTTCAGGCCATCCAGAACTACATTGTGAGATCCTGTCTCCAAAAACAAAACCAATGCCCCCACCTCCGCCGCCCCCCACCCCCAAAAAAAGAACTCTGAGAGATCTCAAATAAGTAATTTCACAATACACCTCAGGGCTTTGAAAAAAACAACAGGCCAAAATTATAATCAGTACATGGAAAGAGGCCATTAAGATCAAGGCAGAAAGCCGGGCATGGTGGTGTACACCTTTAATCCCAGCATTTGGGAGGCAGAGGCAGGCACATCTCTGAGTTCCAGGCCAGCTGGGGCCACAGGGAGACCCTGTCTCAAAAAGATTAAAAAAAAAAAAAAAAAGATCAAGGTAGAAATTAGTGAAATAAAACTAATTAATAAAGAATGGATTAAACGAAGAGATTATTCTTTGAAAAGACAGAGATCAACAAATCTACAGATGAAAAAGAAGTGGTGATATACATAGTTCAGCAGATTTACACTGATGAACAATCAAAGTCTTTCGCTCCTATCTGATGTATCTGGCTACAATAGTCTTACACTTTATACCCATTTGTCTACCATGATTGTAGAGTTACAAGATAGAAGGTGGTGCTAGTGATTTAACCCAATGTCTCATGTGTTCTACCATTGCCCTAGTAGGGCAATTTTTATTATAGTGAATATGCAAAAATACAAAGTTTCTGAGGTGCGGTTCATACCTATAATCCCAGCATGGGAGTCTGAGGCAAGATGACTGCTTTTGAGTTCAAGGCTACAGTGATAACTGTTCAGAACCTTACCACCTAATAAGTTATAAGGTAAATAGCAAGGGATTTCCTTACTTAATGAAACTTTTCTTTTAGTCTAGGTAGATATTTCTCTTAAAGTTCAAGGACTCCCATGGCAGCAGGGGACATGCTCCATGTGCTGTTTAAAAGGCAGCTGGATGGAAGCTTTGGGATAGAAGAGTCTATATGTCTACACAAGACTGTTTGACTATTATAAAAATTAAATTTCTTCAAACCAAAAAACCAAAAAAAAGGGAAGAAAAAGAAAAGGAAGTCATTATAACAGATACCAATGTAATGCAGAAAAATCAAAGACACACCTTAAAAACATTATATATTCCACTAAACTGGAAAAAAAATCTAAATGATATGGATAAATTTCTACATACATATGACCTACCAAAATTAAACTAAAATGAGATAAATACTTCAAACAGCTCTACAGCAAGCAATGTGACAGGAACAGTGGTAAAAAGAAATCTTCCAGAGCCAGTGAGATGCTCAGTGGGCAAAGGTGCTTGGGGTCAACATGACAACTTGAGTTTAATCCCCAAGATCCACATGGTGGAAGGAGAAAACTAATCCCTGCAAGCTGTCTTCTGATCATCACAATAACACTCCCCCAAATAAACATAATAAGATATTTTTAATTTAAAAAATCTCCCACCAGGCATGGTGGTGCAAACCTTTAATTATAGCACTTGGGAGGCAGAGGCAAGACCTCTGAGATCCAGGTTAGCTACACAGTGAGTTCTAGGCCAGCTAGGGCTATGGGGAGATCTGCCCCCATTCCCAACTTATAAAAGTCCAGGCCCATATAAGTAAGATTCACTGCTGAATTCTACCAGAACCTTCAAAGAACTAACACCAATGTTTCACAAACCGCTCTATAAAACTGGAAAGGAAGAAAAATTATTTTTAATGAAGCCAATATTACCCTATCAGAATCAGATAAAGCTATAATAAAAAGAAAATTAAAGACCGATTTCCCTGTTAACATACATATAAAAGAATCTCAGCAAAATACTTGAAAACTGAATTCAAGAAAATGTCAAAAGTCATTCATCACGATCAAGTTGTCATTATTACAGAGATGAAGGGGTGTTTGGATAAAACTCTATAAGTATTATAAATTACATAAATGGACTTAAGGACAGAGATCATAATATCTCAACAGATGAACAGGCTTCTGACAAAACCAAATATTCCTTCATGATAAAAGTCTTGAAGAAACTAGGAATACAAGGAGTAACTCAACTATATATCATAAGCAATATACCCAACACATAACCACATAAGCGGGGGGGAACTCCAAGCTTTTTCATTAAAATCAGTAATAAAACAAGGGTATCCACCTTCTCCACTCGAGTCAGTACTGGAAGTCTAGCTAGGGCAGGAAGACAAAAGAAGCAAACAAATGGGACATAAATAGGAAAAGAAGTCAAATCGTCCTTATTTATAGAGGCTATAAATCTCTACACATAAGAGATTCTGAAGACTCCACCAGAAAACTGCTAGAGCTGATAAACTCTACAAGTGGCAAGATACAAAATTAACAAACAAAAAAATCAGAAGCCTTCCTAACCAACAGCAAACATGCTGAGAAAGAAATCAGAGAAACAAGTCCATTCACGATTGCAGCAAACACATAAATACACACAAATATATCTTGGAAAAAACTGAAATGACAGACCTTTATAACAAAAATGACTTTTTTACTATTTATTTATTTATTTATTTATTTATTTATTTATTTATTTATTTATTTATTTATTTCTTTTTGAGACAGGGTCTCCGGGTAGTGCCAGCTGTCCTGGAACTCACAATGTAGACCAGGTTGGCCTTGAATTCACAGAGATCCACCTGCCTCTGCCTCCCGAGTGCTGGGATTAAGGGCGTACACCACCACACCCAGCTATGCATTTATTTTTATGTATCTTGGCAGCAAGCACCTTTATCCACTGAGCCATCTCACCAGCCTAGGAAACTTAAAAAAAAACAACAACAAAAACCAAACAAACAAAACAAAAACATCAAGAGAAGAACTGAAGACACTAGAAGACAGAAAGACCTCCCATGCTCATGGACTGGAAGAATCAATATGTAAAAATGGCTTTCTTAACCAAAAGCAATCTAGAGATTCAATGCAATTCCTATTAAAATCCCAATATCATTCTTCACAGAAGTAGAAAAATCTTTCTTAAATTCATCTGGTAGTTCGGAAGACTTTACTCTACAATGTTTGCCAAACAGTCTCAACTTGATGGGACCTAGAATCACTTAGGAGATGAAGCACACAGATGAAGAATTATCTAAATTAGGTTAATTGACCATAGAAAGATCCACCCACCATGGGCAGCAACTCTCCATGGGCTGGGGGTCCTAAACTAAATAAAAATGAGAAAGTGAGCTGAGTACTCATCTCTCTGGGCTTCCTGACTGTGTATAACATGTCACTAGCCACCTCAAGTTCCTGCTGCCATGATTTCTCCTCCATGAGGGATGGTAATTTCAAACTATATAAGCCAAAATAAACCATTGCTTCCTTAGGTTGCTTTTGTCAGATATTGTCCTAGCAATGTGTAAAGTAACTACAACAGATAGCCAAAGCAATCCTGAGCAAGCGTAACACTTGATATTACCACCATTCCTGATCGTAAGTTATACTACAGAGCCACAGAAACAAAAATAACATGGTAAAAGCGCAAAAAACAGACATGTCAATCAATGGGACAGAATAGAAGATCCAGATACAAATCCACATAGCTACAGCCACCTGGTTTTTGACAAAGATATCAAAAAATATTCACTGGTGAAAAGACAGCCTCTTTAACAAATGACACTTAGGGAACTGGGTATCTACATGTAGAGTAGTGAAAACTAAATCCTTATTTCCCACCGTGCACAAAAATCAAATCCAAATGGATCAAAGACCTCAACATAAGACCTGAAACTGAAAATGCTAGAGGAAAAAGGAGGGAAAACATGATATGGGTGTAGGAGAGGCAAGGACTTTCTGAATGGAAACTCTAGTCATTCAGGAAGTTAAGTCAACAACAGACAAATGGGCCCTCATAAAATTAAGCTTCCATATTGCAAAGGAAACCGTTAATTGAGCAGTCTATAGGAAGGGAGAGAAATCTCTGCCAGCTATACATCTGACAGAAGATTAACATAGAATACACAAAGAACTAAGAAAATTAAATAAGAAAACCCATCCAAAAATGGGCTACAAAACTTGAAGAGATTCTCAATAGGAGCACAAATGGTCAATAAACACTTCATAGGGTTTTAATGCTCTTATTCATAAAGGAAATGCAAATTATAAATACTCTGAGATTCTTTCTCACCCCAGTCAGAATGCTATCATCAAGAAAATAAATGAGCCAGGCGTGGTGGTGAACGCTTTTAATCCCAGCACTTGGGAGGCAGAGGCAGGCGGATCTCTTTGAGTTCAAGGCCAGCCTGGTCTACATAGTGAGTTCCAGGGTAGCTGGGGCTACAGGGAGACCCTGTCTCAAAAAGACCCTGCCCCCCCCAAAAAAAGGAAAAAGAAAAGAAATGATGGTGTCTCCCCCTATCACTCTTTATTTTTTGAGACAGTCTCTTCACTGAACTTAAAGCTTACCATTTTCGCTCAAGTGGTTGGACAGTGAGTTCCAGAATCTGCCTGTCTCAGTCTCCCAGCACTGGAGATATGAGCAACCATGCCCAGTTTTTACACTGGTGCTGGGGATCTGAATTCAGGTTGTTATATACATAGCAATCACTTTACCCATTGAGTTGACTTCTCAACCTAGGAGACATTTTCTTCAGTGATGTAGTACTGGTTTAGGTTACCTATGCTCCTGGAATGCTTTACCCATGTTCTTATAAGCAAATTTAATTAAACTCATTGGGTCACCTATCAAAAAAAAAAAGAGAAAAAAACAGGAGGGAGAAGTCAGTAGTGGCACCTTTAATTCCAGCACTCAGGAGGCAGAGGCAGATGGATCTCTGAATTTGAAGCTAGCCTAGTCCATATACCTAATTCCAAGTCAGTCAGGGCTACATAGTGAGACCCTGTCTCAAATAAAACAGCAACAACAAACAAAAACAACACAATAAAATAGAAGAACAGACTGGAAAGAGGAGGCAGATCAACAAGGTGGGAGTGAGGCAAGAGAGGGCAGGGGTAAGTACCACCAAAATACATTTTATATATGTTTGTGTGTGTGTGTGTGTGTGTGTGTGTGTATACACACATGAAAACGTCACAATGAAACAGTATTATATAGAGCAAGTATATGGTATTAAGAATCTTTTCATCATCTTTGCAAATAATTATTTAGGATTACAACTTATCAAAACAAGTATAGAACTTGTGGGGGGAAAATGTTAAATACAAAGAAATGTTAAATACTTCAAAAAGACAGTGAAACTTTACAGCACAATAAAGAGAATGAGCTCTTGGGGAAAAAAACATCAAATTCGAACAAAAATATGTTTTAATTTATTCATTTACTTTACTTTTATTTTAGGTATATGAGTGTTTTACCTTCATGTATGTAAGGGCGCATGTGCCTGGAATGTCCTTGGAGGCCAGAAGAGGCAATCAGAGCTCCTGGAATTGAACTTATGGATGGTTGCTAGCCCACATGTGGGTGCTGAGAACCAAACCCAGGTTTTGTGCAACAACAGTCAGTGCTCTTAATCCCTGAGCTATGTCTCCCCAGCCCCTGTGCAAAAATATTTGAAACAGTTAATAAGATAAC